CAGGAATGCTACACTATTTCCTATTTCCATTAAAATAATCTCTGACTGTTCATGGCTTGTGAATACATAACAATTTTGTGATGGAAGCACATGTGGCTGTGCAGTAGATGAATGTCTGCTATGAAGTAGCTTTCATATGTCTGTTTCTTAGATCCTTTATTCCATAAGTTTGCTTTTCTGTAAGTTTCCATTTTGCAGGTTGAAGAGGAGAAAAAAAAAAAAAGATGTCTTCCCTTTAGGAAGAAAGAGGAATCAAATCCACCTAAACTTTGTTTTTAAGATATTGGCTGGTAAAGCAGCTTTTAAATGTTGTATAGCAGATTATTAGGCTAACTGACTGTCAAATGATAGCATGATTCAGTTTTTCTTTTGAAAAATAAGGTAATAGATGGCAGAACTTGTTTATAAAATATGTACTGGGAGTTTTTAAAAAAACAGCAAATTAAATGTTGTATAATTAACATTAATATTATTTTTTTCTCCTACTGTATAATATTTTTTATTCTCTTGTTAAAGGCAAATCCCCCTCCAGTGCTGGTGAATACAGATTCTTTGGAGACTCCAACATATGTAAGCCTGTATTTGCTTTCAATTATAATGTTAGATAACTTCTGTATGTAGTTGTGTAGGTCTGTTGTTATTGGTTAATGAAGACTGGTTCACCTCTCTGCTGGTGCATGATTTCTTCAGCTGTTCTGATGGTAATCTGAAGTCCTTCAAGAGCTGTTTCATGAAAAAAAAAAATTGATTATAGATGGGGGATTCTGTGTGAGTACTAGTGTGTGACAGTGCAAAATAGTTGTTTCAACATTGAACCTTAGAGAACAGTCTGTTTTTTCAACTGTACAGGCAGATTCTTTAATATTTAATGTGCAATTTCCGCTGCACTTCTCATAAAAACACTTCTTAATGCAGTGGATATATTGCAGTTTTTAGTGCTCAGAATTTCCCTAGAAGTGTGTTTGTTCTATTTGAAATAGTAAGGTAAGAAGTGTATTTATGTGGAGGCTAAAATTTGTGTTTGGCAGTGTATGTTTTGTGATAGAAATACCACTGGAGGATACAGACTTCAGAGGCTTTGGAGTGTAAGTTAGATTGGTATAGGTTTGAAAATTCAGGTCTGAATTTTCCTACAGCATCTTCCTTTTGTAGTTACTTCTATCCCACTTGCTTGTTGTTTTCCTGAGCAGTGTTAATGCCTGTACTAATGGCTTTATATTGTGTTTATCCTAGGTACTGGTATTATCAAGTAAAAAGTAAATTTTGTCCTTGTCTAAAACTTTCCTAACAACACTTCTAGAGAGGACCTGTAAATGCAGACAAAAGCATGAATTAACAATTTAAGTGGAAGACAAAAGATTGTGGTGACATAATTTGCTCAAAAATTAGTCTGAGTGCAATGATGAAGCTTTTGACTAAAAGATCACAGCTGTAGTTTATGCTCCCTTTATTGATCTGACACAGAGTTTAGAAAAGCATAGTGAAGGTGAGGTGTCTCCCTGCACACCAACTCAACCAGAAAGAGAAGTTATGAATAAATATATATTCATTTTTCAGAGGTCCCATCTCATAGAGGCACATGGAGGACAGTAGGTAGTAGAATTATGAAGAGAAAACAGCATTAAGAGAACAAACCAACACTCAAAATTATAAGCTATCTAAATTACCAATTTTCATTGAATGTGAAACAGACAAGCCCGTAAAGATCTGTAATCTAACCTACTCTGTATCCCTGGGAGACTGAGTAAAGGAATATCCTTCTAGGTTCCCAAGTAGCTAAGGGAGTTGTTAAGTGGTAAGTAATGTAAAGTCGTACTTTGAGTTGACTGCATTATGAATCTGCAAAAAACATAACTAATAAAGCTTTTTCTACTGGAAGAAGTAAAAAAGCAGAATATAAATCTAGAAAGCCAATAAGGAGCAAATGGTCAAGAACACAGCTCTCATTATCTGGATTGTAGAGCTGCTGAAGAAGTTATCTCTTAGAACTCAAACTGGTTTGGAAACAAACACCAAGAAAAGTTTTTATTCTTTGGAAAAGCCCAAGGAAACCTAAACAAAACACAAGCTGGTGGCACGTGAAAAGCCATACCAGGAAAATTAGCTTGACTACAGCCAAAAGGCTCTGACAGAATTCTGCTAAACTACTAATAGGTTTTCAGATTAAAAGAAGATTGCTGTGGCATAATTACAGCATTTGTATAGAACTTAATTCATCCAGGGCAAGTCCCTACAAATAGAACTTGGCTTAGTGAATATGAGATCACTTTAGAACTTGAAAAAGGTAGAATAGGACAGTGGTTCTTATAATTTGATGTATCCTGGTTCACATCTCTCCTAAAGTTGGTTTGTTAGATAGAATAAAGGTTAAGAAAAAGGGACTGTAGCTAAAGCAAAAGATAAAAATTGGTGGGGGTTCTAGTTTGCTTCTCTTTATCTAAATGATATTTTTAAATTAGTTTAGAGAGTTTCATACATGGAAATAATCGAGACTGTTTAAATATATTAGAACTGGCTTTGTTTTGCCTAGTGGTAATGAATAGGGAAATTATTAATTGTCCTTGTCATTTATTGAAACAAAAAAACCTAAACCAAACACAAAGGAAAAAAAGATCATATACTGATCAGTCATCATGAACCATTTCCAAAGTACTGTAATAGTAGATGACTAGTTCAGTTAGCATATGTTGTCATTCATGTAGATAATAGCTCAAGGACTAAGCTAACATACAAACTTCTTGATCACAGTGGCTTCTTTTGTGTTGGTGTAGTAATAGATATAGCTTCGTGTATTCAAAAGGTCAAGACCTCTTCCCTTTTCAATGGAGAAATATCATGTGTTAAAACTGCAATATCTTTTACCCTGAACTACTAAGGTCATATTGTTTTTGAGGTACTATGCAGAGATAATTATCTGTTATGTCAGAAAGGACATGACTTGCATTGTGTTAAGGATGGAGATAGAGATTGAGGAAGAATTGTAGTTGGGGGATAAATAAACTTGATATTAGACACTGTACATTTGTGGCATCTCCATCTTTTGGAGCTTTTAAATTAAATTAAAGAGAGATTCTGTAGATGTGTTATTAATTTTGTTTGGGGTAAATTTAAAGTCCCTTTTTAAAATTCTCTCTCAGACTGTACAGATTTTTAAATGCTTTCTTCTGTACTTTTTTTTAATCTTTATAAAATCTTGAATAGTATGCTGAGAGTACAGAATATGACCAGATAAAGAATATCTTAAGAATAGGAAAGGTGCTTTGTAAAATAATAGTATAAATGTTATTTCTTATCTTGTTAAATATTTCATCCTAAAAGGCTTGAAATAGGGAATTTCTGGTAGCTGTAGGTTGTATATGCTGCTGTAGGAAAGAATTTGAGTTCCAAGATATTTTAGTAGTCAAAAAAACAAACTTAATGTTACTTTTGTGTTAAATATGGCTAAGAATTTGATATTTAGTTGTCTTAGCTTAATTTAGATATTTATTCCTTCTATTATTTGATTCCATAATAGTTCTATAGGCAGCAAAGAACATAGGTATCCTTTCTAACTCGAGGATAAGGCTTACTTCTAGTGTTTGGGTTTTCATCCAGCTTTATAAAATATTCTTCTACTCTCTTCTGGTTTTGGTCCTGTTTTGATTTGTTTATATTTAGTACATATGTAGCAAAATAAATAGTAATATAAACAGATGTTAAATGTTGTTTTAGAAGGGCCTTACACATTTATAGTGAGAAATGGTACAAAACATCAGTATTTGATTTTTCTCCTCTCTGTGAGGAAGAAGAGTTTGAAAATACTGCTCTGTTCTTCTACATAGTGTCTTCTTTACCCTATGACCCCTTCCTTTTTTCTGAGTTTCAACTTGCTATATGGCCTGAGGAACATCTGAGGATCTCAAGAGAATTTTCTTAAATGGCAATCAGAAGCAGAGGGCCCCTGCCCCTCAGTGTCTGTGTAGAACAGTCTGCTCTCTGAAATTTTAACTTTTGAACGCATACAAAAGGAGTGTCTGATTCATGTACACAGCAGTGTGAAAATCACACATCCCCTCTGAGCTCAGTGGTCACTGGGAATCAGCTGAGATTTGATGGGAGTGAACTTCCAGCTGAGCAAATGCTATGTTGTGTAAAGTTAAAATTCTCTCTAAGTCTCACTTTTCTTTCTTTATAGGTCAATGGCACTGATGCAGATTATGAGTATGAAGAAATTACTCTTGAAAGGGTAACATGCTACATGTCTTTCTGTACTTTGTTTTAGATGGGATTTATGATACTTTAATATGAAAAATTAAACCTTTTGATACTGCTAAATGGCAATCCAAAACAATCCTCACTGGGTTGTTTTTTTCTGTATATAGATTATTTAATGTAAAGAAAAAGTAAGATACACCCAGTTGCTGGAGCAAGAGTAGAAGTTTTCATTGATATCCTTGACCATTAAGCATAAAATGGGGGAAGCATCCCATCCCTGAGACATACTGCATTTCATGTTGTTATGTAGGTTTTTAGAGGGTAATACACAAATTACTATTTGATTTCCTATATTTCCATTTATGGCAGGCTTTTATTTATACCACTAAGTTTTATATTGATATTCAGGCTTCTGGTTGAGATTACAAGTGACACCTTGCCATATGCATTGCTTTGTGAGGTTTTCCATGTAGAGCTCTGTCTCTATTCTCTTTTATTGAGCTGCTCTGTTAACAAAAGAAAAAGCAAAGAAATTACTGTATTTGAGACTTGTGCACTTCTGGTGGTAACTGGGAGCATTAAGAGGTCTTGCAGTTGGTAGTGAGGACAGGCAACCTGCAAGAGAAAATGTCAGTATGAGTCTCTGCATCTGTGAGTATACATTAAGTATCTGACACAAAATACTTGGGGAGTTTTTTGGGGAGAATCATTTGTCACTAATAATTTAATAATCAGAAAATATTTGTGTGAATAATCTCAAAGATCTAGCTCACTAGAGAAGGGGGAAGTGTTTATCTAGTTTATCAAGTTCACTTCAATGAGAAAGCTGTGGGATTGGAACTGTGTATCTTAGTTACACAATGACTTATGTTCTCCTTTGAAAAAAATTATAATTGCATCTAATGCATGTTTATATGTAGTATGCTAATTAAAGTGTCTTGTAATATATTTTATTAGTGAAAATTATACAGATTTGGTTCAATATTGAATCACATGTATGAGAATATATTTTCCCCAAAAGAGAAATGTGTACTTTTTTTTTCCTTCTCCTCTGCCTTCAGGGAAATTCAGGACTTGGCTTTAGCATTGCAGGTGGGACAGACAACCCACATATTGGGGATGATTCAAGTATTTTCATTACAAAAATTATAGCCGGGGGTGCAGCTGCACAGGATGGAAGATTACGGTATGATGACTTTTTCTGTGTTGAATTGTTCAATGTTTATTTTATCAAACAGTGGACAGAACACTTTTATTAGTTTTATCATGCTACTTTATATTTTAAATAAGTTTTTCTTACAGAAGTTTTTTGTGAATAATGAAAAATGTTTGAGTGGAACAGTTATATGTATTTTTTTTAACCAATCAAATTAAGTGAAATTAAGTGAACTTTATATTTTCTCTTAGTGGTATAAATTGATTATGCCATATGTTCTTTAGTCCTCAATTGAATATTAGAAGGAAAAGCTTAGATGGGTATGATAGATAACTCTTAGTTATTCATGAGCAGTTTTTCTGATCTGTAAGATAGTTGAGTTTAATGACAACCCTCTTTTTATGCTTGGTATAATTCTGTCTTAATTTTTCAAAGATACTACACTTTAAAAGCCAGATTTTTTGTTTTAAGTTAATAAAGTACTCATCCAGTATACCCCATTTTCTTATTTCTGTTCTGATACTGCTAGTGCTAGTGAGGAAGTATTGTTATTATTAGGTGGTAGCAAATTATATTTGCAACTTCTTTGAAGAGTACTGGTAGAAGTTAATAACAAATTCCATTAATGAATTATTTTTCTAATCCAGAACAGTCTTTAAGTATATTCCTATATCACTGTGTGGAAAAAACCCACATCCAATTGTAGGACCAGCTTTTTTTGTGTGTGTTAAGACCCTGTCCTATCATTTTTGGTGTAAATGCCTGATGGGTTTTAGTCCTAATAAGCTTATTTCAAGACTTCATTTTAGCTTGTTGGCCCTTGTCAGAGTTACATCTGGCAGAACATAATGACAGGATGGTCAGGCATTGTACTTAGTGTAATGAGATCTCAGTGTTACTACAGCAATATGTTAAATGGGGTGGAAGGTCAGCACTTAAACAGCTTGTAAAAAAGCAAGAATGGGGATGGACTTGTTTGTATCATGGTTTGTAACTAGCGTGGTCTCAATGGGGGCTTCCTTGTTTCTGAATTTTTAATTCTTACAGCCTTAAACAGAAGTTAGTTTTCATGAAGCTCTTTTCAAAATACTGTTTAAATGAAGCATATATAAGATGGTGCCCTCTTCAACTGTGAACAAAATACTACCTTTAAATATTTTCTACTGGTACTTGTTTTATTTTTAAGCACTGATAATTAATTTTAGAGCATTGTCTTCAATCAGTATATTTTTGAAGAGGATTCTGTGTGTGTGGATGTGTTAATGTGTACCTTAGTGTATTGCAGATAAAATGTTGGGCTCCTGTTGTGTCCACTCTGCAATATCTGCAACAGCTGAAGGTGAATGTTGCTGTTTTTAGGGTTAATGATTGTATTCTACGAGTAAATGAGGTGGATGTTCGTGATGTGACACACAGCAAAGCAGTCGAAGCATTGAAAGAAGCAGGATCAATTGTACGATTGTATGTCAAAAGAAGAAAACCAGTCACAGAAAAAATAGTGGAAATCAAACTTGTAAAAGGCCCTAAAGGTACGTATGAAGTATAAAACTTGTGTTTCAAAAGAAGGATATGTTGATAATAAATTGCAGCATTTATTTATTGAAATAAAATAGTACTTTTCATATGAAGTTTTAGGAAATGCAAAATGATGAAAAATAAGATATTGTCACCTCAGATACTTCTGAATTTTCATCCATGTGTCTTTAAAATGTTCTTGTAGACTGTCTAGTTTTCTTTCAAATGATGAAAAGGTCTCTATTTAGTAATTTTAAAGTACATTACAAATAGGAGCAATATATTTCATTGAATTACCTAGATGGATCTTTGAAATTACATTTAGAGAAAGTTTTATTTTGTTTCATTGTGGGGAATTGTTGAGCAGTGTTTCTTTAAATATCAGTGGTGATGCTATAGCTGTGCTGTGTGCATCTTGCAGAAGGCATGAAATAAATTATTTAGCTTTTCACTTTAAGAAGTTCTGTAGATATTACATTTTTTCCAGAACTTTCTGGAAAAGTATGGAGTTCACTTGGAAAGGCATCCATTGCTTCAACCAGAGCCTAGTATTTTAAAAATATATGTATATGTGCATCTATGCAGATTAAAATGATTATATAAATAACAATGCAGTCCAATGAATGCTAAAAGGTTTTTTTGAGTAATGACTTTATCTTCAAGCAGGTCTTGGTTTCAGTATTGCTGGTGGTGTAGGAAATCAGCATATACCTGGAGACAACAGCATCTATGTAACCAAAATCATTGAAGGCGGGGCAGCACATAAAGATGGCAAACTTCAGATTGGAGACAAACTTTTAGCTGTAAGAAAGAGTTGCTTTATTTTTTTCTAATGATCATTCCCTTTTAGGCCCAGTAAGTGCATTATTCACTTTGTGGTTAAGCTGCCTGCTGGTATAATTGGTGTCTTAATTTTTCAAAGATACTACGCTTATTTCATAGACATCTGTAAAAAAAATGATATTGCCAGGAAATAAATGCTAAAATTTAAATCTGAGATGTTCAACACCATCTCATCAGGAAATCTGAAATATTTTCCTCAGTACCATGTTTCACGCAAAACCTGTATTAATCAGGCTGTTTATTTCTGATGCCTCCTATTATTTTTCTGTGATCAGAGTTTCAGGAAGTAAACTAGCAGACAGTGGTGTGGTTTCTCTTCTCAAAAAGAAGAATGGAAAGGAGCTCCATATACTGGTGGCTGGCCAGCCTGTAGTCAGTCTGCTGCATATATTGGATTTCAGTGTTTTTAATGCTTTTGAATGGCTTAAAAAAATAAATAAATTTAACCTCAAAGTGGCACAAATGAAAAATAACTTTCAACTTGTTTGAATTTCGTCTGGAAATCCAGTTGTCCGGCTAGAAAAACAAGAGGTGGAGACAGGAATTTCTGAATGAACTTGAGTGAATCTGAATTAATTTCTGAATGAAGTTGAGTTTTCAACTCTTGTAAGGTGTGTAATTGCTCCACACTCCTACGTCTACCAGGCTACACCAGCTTCTCTAAGAGCTCTGAGTGCACCTGTAGTCAGAGCATGTGACAGCAGAATGTCTGCTCAATTGCTCTTCAAAATGGATGAGACTGACTCTTAAATTTTTAGTGCAGAGTTTCCTATTTAGAAAAGACTTTTCGGATAAGTTTGTCACTTACAGAGCTGAAAAAATGAAGCTACTTAAAGAATCCTTGGTTTATTCCTGTATCAAAAGAATCCTGCTTCTTTTTTAGGAGAATTCTAGAAAATAAGGATGGAAAGAATGTATTTAAACAGTAGAGTTCCACCCCCAATTAACAGAATTGACAAGGCTCAATTGCTTTTATGTAGATACAGAATTAAGTAATCTAAGAGAGGAAAGTGTATTTAGTTCCTCAAGTTCAGTGCAGTACAAGCCTTATTTCCCATGTTGTCTGTAGTTCTCTCCAGAATTTACTTCCCTCTTCAAAATACGGCGGAAAGGGTCAGCGACTCAATAAGGCTTTGTATGAAATACTAATGGTTGAAGCAATTTTATTTATTTATTTTTAACCAAAGTGCTAGTGTTTCCTCTTAACAGCAGTAGCTTTAAAAAAAAAAAAGCATTGCCACTGGAGTTAAACTAGTTCTTGTTACTTGACATGAAAATTGATCAGTCACTTTGGGATCTTCTCCAGTTTCGATCCCTACTTTTGACTTCTTGTGAGATTGTACCATTATAATGTCTAGAACTCAATCACGTTACGAGCATCTAGGATTTACTCTTACTAGAAGAAACTTTATTCTGTTCACTACTTGCAATAACGTGCTGTGTCAGTGCTGTGATTGTGCATGGCATTGAGTGTCTGATTTGTCCCATTAGTTTTTCAGAGTCCTTCTTTATAACGTTGAAGTCGATACAGTTTATTATAATGTTTTGAGGAAAGACTTGTCTTTTTTATATTTCACAGTACTACAAAGCATCTTTTCTTATGCCTGTGATATATGAATCCTAATAAAAACTCTCAAAGACAGAGTGCTCCAACTGCTTTCAATGTCTTATGGAAATGCACGCTTTTTTCTGTGTTGAGAATTGGTTTATTTTCTTATCTTTAGGTGAACAGTGTTTGCTTAGAAGAAGTTACTCATGAAGAAGCAGTGACTGCCTTAAAAAACACATCTGACTTCGTTTATCTGAAAGTTGCAAAACCCACCAGCATGTTCATGAATGATAGTTATGCCCCTCCTGACATCACAAACTGTAAGTGTAGCTTATCTTTGTGACTTAATTACTTTTCCATTTAAGGCTTTAACGTACAACAGTTCCAGTATTTTAACAACTTCAGACCTTTAAAAATTATACAGTGTGAAAATCACAGTACACAAAGAACAAGAAGAAAAATGTAGCACAACTAAGGACCAAAGTAACCATATAAGCCCATCGTTACTTGGCAATAGCTACAGTATCTTTAAATCTATTCATGAGCTTATTGAATTATAGTTTGGAGCTAATTAGGTTTTATGTCTTTACTGTCTTATTAGAAGGATGTTCTTGAAGTCTCCACTCTTTGCCATAAACCTCATTTTCAGCCTTTATTTATTCCCAGTTGTTTACTCATATATATGGTTAGAGAGCAGCCATTTTCCTCGATGATATCTAGTTTGTCCAATAATTTGGTCTTTCCCACTGTTTCCTTGGAATACAGAGTTCTTTTTCTCTCCTGGTAGTGTTACAGTAATGCAGTTACACTGTTGGAGACAGTGGTGTGACAAACGTAGAAGTATTTTATCTATTACTACTGTATCTTGACTCAATCTTTGGGATATTTGCTTTATGAATCTTTTGTAGAGGCAAAGGTAAAGCCTCAAGAAAATTTGGGAGAGGAGGGTAGAGAAGGAGAGGGTTCCTGATAATTTGCCTAATCCTACTAACTCAATTATACCCTGATATTGGCAAAAGTCATACTCGTTAACTCTTGGTCAGTGCCCATGATTGTTAAAAAACAATTTAGTATACTAATAATAAAATGTTTAAGTGGAAAAAAGCAAACAACCCAGAATCAAGCACAATATCAGTTTAGAGGATTGGCTATTTCGGGAAGGAACCTGAACTGAAACTCTTCCTTTTGTGTGAGTGGGGGAAGGAACAGGTAGTAGGATTTGACACACCTACTCCTATACTAGGCAACCATAAAGGAGTGGTTGGATATAAATGTAGATTCTCATTTTAAATTTGTATATGCTTTGGTACCATTCATTACATGATACTTGGATCTTAAAAAGACTGTCTGTAGACTCAAAGTTATGAGCAGAGATACCAAACTGAGCATGGCTGATTCTCAGTACTGTAGTTTAGTATTTCAGTTTTAGGTAGGTGAGATCAGATAGCTGAGAGTCTTATTCTTAGCAGAAGTAATATTTCCTGTTTGACTACAAATTGGTTTTCTCCTTTGGGAAATTAATTTGGTTTTGTATTCACATTAGCTATATCTACATCTTGTGAAGGGGTGTTTGCTCTGGCAGTGTGCAGAAGGACAGGCTGTCAGCCCTCTTCTGCACTGAATTAATATCTATCAAATGGTGCATGAGCTGGAGGCTCAGTTAATTGAATTTAATTGCATCACCACATAAAGCCATAAAAGAAAGAATGGTATCTTCAATAATACCTTCTTACCATGTGTCTGGCTCTTCAGGGAAGTTCTGTCAAGGGTAATCCCACATGATTGCCATGAGGATGCACACTGCCATCTTGCCTTGAGTCCCCAATTTCCCGGTATACGTGACACAGTCTCACCTCCATTTTCTGGAGGTAAATTACTTGACCACACATGTAGGGCTTCTTTTCTCCCATTACTTTTGTCCCTTCCAAGTTTCTCTCCCATTTAGTTCCCATTTTGACTTGAAAGAGACAGTGGCATTTTGCAGCCCAGTATCCTATCCTTTGTGTGAAGTGGCACTTCTGACCACTGAGAAATGAAGAGACAGTCTCCTGAGCTGTCATGCCCCTCAAGCTCCAGCAGGTTCTTCTGTGAACCTTTTTCCTCCTGCTGGAGCATTTTGAAATTTCTTAGATTTCAGCTGTCTGACTGTCTGCTGTCCTTCAGTGACCTTTGAGAAGGTTTGTGGGCTGAAGTGCTGTCTGTACTTTGGAGTAGACTTTCTGAGTTTCATTTCATTTAGCTGCAGTTTTAGTGTTCTGTCTGAAGTTACTGTGGTTTTTATGCTGGTTTTGGTAGACTTCTGTCAATAGTTAACCAAAGAACATCTTCTGCAAAGTGCTGGGTCCTTGGAGGACATTTCAAGTCTAATTCTTTTGCTTACAACAGGAAAGCCTTTTTTTACCCAGGCCTTGGTATGCTTGTCTCTTTGTTGATGGAAGTGCAGCTGGCATGGAGTTGCTGGATCTGCTGCCCGAACTTTGCACACAAAATAGATCCAAAGGTCTTGTGTCAGGTGTTTCATGTCTTAATTCAAGGAAGTAAAATAATTTAATATTTCTTTGAGGTTAGTGTCTTAATTTTGAGGGACACTTGATCAAGAGGTTTCTTAGATTATAAGTTACAGCAATATATCTTGAGAAGAGTACAGATCCTGCCAACATAATTCTTTGTGCAACTGGGGCTAAAAGTTGACCCTCCATCATTTGATGTTTGTTGGAGTGAGTGAAGAGCTTCTGGTTGCCTGTGGGGGAAATTAATGTTGGAAATCATGTTAAAAAGAGTTAGGACTGAGAACAGAGTATTGAGCAGGGAATGAATGTGGAAAAAGCATATCATAGTTACGTGCTGTAGTTCTAAACTGGCACTGGCAGCACTGAAAGCCTGACCACAGTCCTTGACAGTCTGGCTGATTGCTATGTCTGTTTCTGTTGCTTCTGTGAGATTTTTCTTTGAGTCCTTGAGGTGTGGATCACCAGTTTAAAACAGTTGCTTAACCGTGATCTCTGTTTTCTGACTCAAGAAGAATGCAATAATGAAAGATTGTTCTTTCTGAGCACCTTGCCATTTGGCTGGTAGTCTTCTATGTGACATCTGATCCCTGAGACACTGAAAAACAAGAATTTCCGGTACAGGAAACATGGAAATTCAACAAAAACCCATAATGTTTATTGTATGCAGAGTAACAACAACACTGTAGGTGAGATGATCTCATGGACTGATGCCATCCAGCTGGCTAGCAGCACTTGCAGCTGAACTGATTTGTGTGATTCATAATCATAGCTATTAGTCTTCTGTAATAGGTCATGTATCAGTAGGAAATGTAAATTGCCTTAGTGATCTATATATGAATATTGGTCATTAAATGGTTCCTGGACCAAATGTCCAGTACCTTGTTGGTATGAATGTTTTTTAAGTTACTCAGTTAAAATATTACTAAGGAGGTCTAGAACTGGCTATCTAAAACCACCAACATCACCTGTACAGTGCATTTTGTAGAATATCGAAGTCAGAAAAGTGTCTACACAGTTTCTGAGACACAGGGGACTTGCTTCCTATGCAGGTCTCATTTGAAGGGATTATTAATGATGCATTTTTGACTCCTAGTAAATTTGTCCTTTGTGTGTGTCTGCACTGCTACAGTATTTCTACCCTGCATTGAGAAATAAAATACTGCAAGTCAGGGAATAATCAGTTTCCTCACTAGAGACATGCATGCTTTATTGTTTCTTAAATGGCATAAGTACAGGAAGAGAAGATTGTGTAATAAGAGTAAATTGCAATAGAGTTTTGTTTTTATTTCCTCTTTTAGAGATTGTACTTGTGATTGGTGTGCTCAGTTTGCAGATAATAAGGAAATAATAGGAAATCCATTTTCTTTCTATAGAACTGTGTTATGTCAAGGGTGGGTGGGTCTGGAAATGGGATGAAATGAAATGGAATTTCTTCTGTTCTGTCAAAGCATGTTCATATTAAGCATGTAACTTTCTGTTCATCCAAAACACAGTTCCTCTATCAGTTATATTATTACCTCAGTAATAATGTTTACTTATATATAGAAGTTTAGACCTGATTTAGTATTCAGAAAGTGATGGCTTGCCTTTTTTCTGTCATGTGCCTCATGAATATTCTTCAGGTATAATTTCCAGCTCAGTTTTAGGAAAGGTATAGGCATGGGATTTTTTTGCAGGAACTCCATTGAGAGCCTTTTCAGGCCTTGTAGTTTTGCCTCCCTAGCTGAGAATAATATCCTTGAGGAGGGACCTAACTTTTGTAAACAAGTACTATATGTAGAACTTTATAAATTATGTAACCAGTGGTGTGGAACCCTGTCCACAGGTCTGAAATGATAATCTCTTATATTGCTTTTTAGCTGATTTTTTTTAGTTAAGTGGTGAAAGGATACAAAATTAAAAAAAAAAAAGTGACAGTATTAGGGGTGTGTATGTTTCTGAACATGATGCAGTTAAAAGTTTTAGGAACCTTAAAAGCAATCAAATGAAAAGAACTGTAAGTCAATGAGCATGGAATTTGTTATGAAAAATATAATTACTCCTTTAAATTATGCATCGTTATAGCTACCACTGACTTGTTAAAAGCAATTGTAAATTCATTTTGTGAAATGAGGAGATTTAGTGCAGGAACAGAATGTACAGAGTTCCTATACTGTACTACAGTTTTTTCTTTTTTTAAAATCAAAACCCATTTTCCACTAATTGGAAAGTGTCTGCATTCTATTTTTTGTATGCATTAGCTGTAAAATTTTCCAAGGAAAAACAAAACTTTATTTACAGACAGTAGCAGTTTTTTAAAGTATCATTTGCTTTGAACATAGTGTGTACCGTGACATGGAAATATATATATATGCATATATTATTTTCTGCTGAAAAGTAAATATTGCTGTATGGTTTGGCAACTATTGTGGAAATCTGTTGCCAAATTTATGGCTAAAAAACAAGTTTTGAAGTTCAGAGTAATCTGTCCAATTCTTTTACCAGTGCTTAGAAGCTACATATTGTGCCAGAGGCAGGCAGAAATTGTCAAGTAGTGGGAACTCTTTGAATCCTTGTGGGGAGCAGGAGGAGGAAAATGAATGTGCATGTGTTACAGGTGTTATAAAAAGTGATTTTAGAATTCATGTATATTGAAAAAGTCCTAATTATCAGGCAAGTCTCAAATATAAGTGCTTTTGTTGATCACTTGATTTTAGCAAAATCAGTGTTCTGTTTGCTGTAGACATCATCGATCTAACTTGAGGAGGTTTCCTTTTGTCTGTGCTGTAGAAAGGCACAGGCACTTCTTGCACCCAGAATCTGATTTTCCCTGAAACCACTTCTGAATCCAGAATTGCAATTACCAGAAGTTCTGCAGTGTCCCAGACTAAAGCATGCAACTCTCTAAGGGCTGGTGTGTCTGAATAACTCACTGAAGTACTTTAGCAGGTAGTGCTTTTAATTTAAGCTGTAAATAGTAGATTTTAATGCTTGTTGAAACACATTTGAAGAAACAGAACTCTAATACTGTGACAAAGCTTTAAAGAACAAGCAGCAATCAGGCTAATTGGGTATGATAGCAGATGCTGTATGCCAGGCCTTAAAGTACTATTCGTGTTTCCATTTCTGGCTTGGTACCTCTTTTATTAGACCATTGATAAGGGTAAGACAATGGTGATGTGATACGTTCTCCATGTGTGGAGTTTTTGGCACAGGGGTTTAGTAAAAATCTAGAGTAATGCAGAATCAATCCAGTGCAGACTGGGTGGTTTGAAAACATGATCTCTAGCAAATCTCTCATACAGACTTCATCAAGAGTATTTTTACGTGACTCAAACATTCTGCCAGTGGTTTAAAAAGAAAAAAAAGCCAGGAGAATATACAGGTCACTTCTGCAATCTGTGTCATGTTTATTCAGTTAAAAAGCTTTGGTTATAGGTGTAAATCTTCAGACTTCAGGCACATCAGGTAAAAGCCAACAGGATCTGACAGCTTTAATAATGTTGAATCTGTCAAGTGTCCCTATTCTCTGTGTTTAAACACCAAGTCTTGAAGCACCTACACCACCAGGAAAAACGTATGCACTTCATGCCTGTTATGCAAGACGTTAGACTAAATCCTGTCTAGTTTTAATCAATAAACCTGTGAATAAAGCAACTGAACCTTGTAGTACAGTTGAAGCTTTTTACACTAATTTGTTTATTGTTCTCAGTAAATTGATGCCTGTAACCTTGAAGAGTAGAAGGTGAAATAATCCTGCCTTTGTTTCCTGATGTGTGCTGCTGGCTGAGCACACACCAGCACCCATGCTATTAAATATGTTTTGCTCAGTGTCTAATAAATGTAATAACCTTCCCTGTTCCAACCTGTTAATCAGAATGACCTGGAGTATTCTGGACATGCTGGATGTTCTGTATCAAAGCATTGAAAAAAGAGACAGTTTGGCAATTTGAAAAAAATGTTATTAAAATGTTGTTTCTTCAACTTAGTAGTTTTTAAGAAACAGAAGTTCTTCATTGATTTCAGTCAAGTTGTAGACAACTTTAAAGACATAAATCCCTATGTGCTCATAGGCTTCAGCTATTCACAGTGTGTGTTTCTAAAAAAGGCGTTTTTAGAGACACAAACTGGAAAATGTGGTTAAAATTTTAAGTGGGAGGAGACTGGGAAATGTGTAGATGTGACACAGTATTATGGAATGATGATATTTATAAAGTGTCAGTTGAACTTTAAAGTATTATTTTTTGAAGAGGTCATTCGTTACCATACTTTGTTTCAGTTCCTCCAGACCTTTTTCCTTATTGTCTTAATGCTTATTTTATTTTTTTCCTCTTTGAAGCTTTTTCTCAGCCAGTGGATAACCATATCACTCCATCTGCCTACATGGGACAGTCCTTGCCCCCAGCATCACCGGGGCGATATTCACCAATTCCCAAGGGAATGCTTGGAGATGATGAGATTACCAGGTAATGAATAGTCAAACCTACATGTCAAATTAGTTAACTGGTGAAGCTCACAAGATGTGTTTGTGTGCAAAATACTAGTGAATACTACATTTTATGTCAAGAATTAATTGCAAATCATTAGTTTCTTAATGCTTGTAAACATTGGTGAAAGGAGAAATATAGATATGTTATATATATAAAATATTATTATATCTATGCACACAAGTATATATGCATGATTTACCAGCAACAGTACTAAAATCAGAATGCCCCTACCAAAATGCTTCATGAGTTGGCTGAGCTTTTTAGGATGGTAGTATGAGAATACGAGAGATTATTTCTTTTTTTAAAGCCAGCAATGCTTTTTGTTTTGTTCCCCACACCACCCCCCACAACCCCCCTGACAGGGGTTTGTTTTGATGGATTAGTAAATCCAGAAAGGCTAGAGAGCTCTTAATCCTTTTCCATTAACAAACTATTCATTCCTTCACTGATTCAGTAGATTGCATTAATCTTCTGTTCATCATTGCTGATAGCGGGAAGCTCTTCTAATTTTGTTACCCTGTTGTTCTGCAAGTTTTGGCACATTATACTGCATTTTCAGTATGTTGTTGCTGAATTCTGTGTCGCACCATCTTCTGATATGGATAGTGTTGCTCAGTTTCTGAAGTAGGGTCTACCCAGGATTGAAACAGAAGTGGTAGAATAAGTTGGAGAAGAAATTTTATTGTACCGGAAGGTAGGAGAATCTCAGATAGGCTTTTGTAATTGTGTTTAATGAAGTTAAAAGTAACGGGTGGACATATAAAACAAACTGATTCTGTCCTGGCAATAGCATTGCTGCACTTAAGGTTTTAAGCTTTTCCTTTAAAAACCTCCCTTTACAGTAATTTCAGATTTCTTCTGAAACACAAGGACTATTATTGCTTTCCTATCTTCCACTCTATCCATCCCAAAACAGTATAGAAATGTTGAGTATTACTATAAAAGATACTGTGTATTTATGTTTTCTAATGGCAATATTTTTGTTAATTTATTAGTGAGACCCAGAGCTACTTACATAGGCTTTCACAGTGCCATGTATTTGTAATAAAATAGTACTTTGAAAGATGACTGTGATAGTTGATGGTGGGTGAAATACAAGTGTTGGACACTAAGTTGATTTAAGAGCTAGTGCATTTTTAAAGATTGGACAAGATGATCTTTTGTTTCAGAAAAATGCAGCTTTTTTGTTTATCCTATAAATTAATAATGTCTCCAAATACTTCAGCATGTTTGTTCATTGTTCTTTAGTGCTCTCTAGTGATTTTTCAAATGCAGTGCACAGTTGCTCTGCTTTATTAGAAATGTGATTCTGAAATAATTTGGTTTTTTCTGGTTTGGGTCAAGTAGCTAACTAGTAGATTTTTAGGGAGGAGTGTTGCTGCATTAGAAGTTGGCTGGCTCTATCTTAAGTCATCCAAGCTGGGATCCTAGAAATAGAATTAAACAACTTGGTTTCGATTTAGGTTTTTCAGTTGCAGTTGTTGCAAATAAATTGCAAATGTATTTGAGAATGCCATAAATTCTCATTTGTCATGGTTTATGCTGCACACTTCCTGAATTGTTCTTTGGTATATTTTTTGCTTGACCAACTGGAATGAAATTATAGCAGTAAGGATGTATTTTTCATTACTGGTGTTCATTGTTTGTTCGTTGTTTCAGAACATGAAAGTAGTTTTTTTGTTGCTTGCTATTGCCATTAGATACAATAAGACAGAGCTGTGTTGAGGTTTTTGAACAATATGGAAAGTGTTAAATAATGACATTTGTGGTAAATAGGATTGTAGCATAATAGGCGTTTAGAATACATAGATACTTACTGTTCAAGTCACCTAATAGCAAGCAGAATTGGAAGCATACAAGTAATAGAAGCTATTATTTTAAAGTCTAAGCTTTGGGGGGCAGGACTGGGGGCAGGGAGGTGATACACATGATGTTAATTTCAGAAATGTGTAACTTTTAATACTTAAATTTTCAACACTACTTATCTCAGAAAATGAAGCTCTTCTAGTAGTTTATTTTACTTTTACTCCTAACTAGTGTCCAAGATTTCATATTCTTTTCTTTCCTTCAGAGAGCCTAGGAAGGTTGTCCTACATCGAGGATCAACAGGTCTTGGTTTCAACATTGTTGGAGGAGAAGATGGAGAAGGAATTTTCATCTCTTTCATACTTGCAGGAGGACCAGCTGACCTCAGTGGAGAGCTTAGGAAAGGAGATCGTATAATTTCTGTAGGATTCCTTGCTTTTTTTCTTTAATGAAAACCAAAAGTTTTCCCCTCCCTGGATATTAGTGCTATTCTATGTTTCATTCACAAACAGTATAATTAACAAAGCTAAATTTGAGACAATGGAACAGATGCCAATATACTTCCAAAGTATCTTTGAGGACTTTAATCTGCCTCAGATTGTCATCTGTAACCTCATTAAATTAGCACTTTCTCATCTCAGAGATATTTTTCTCAGTGAAGACATAAACTTACCTTAATCTGGTAGCTGAGATTTGTATCTTAATGGAAAGAATGCAGGCTTCAGAAATAAGCCATGGGCTTCAGAAATAAGCCATGGGCTTCAGAAATAAGCCTTCTAGCAAGGTGGAGGCAACTGGTAGTAATGTCTAAAAATGGGTGCTTTACATCCTGGAGTAACTACTAAGCTTTTCATTAGTCTTAAACAGATCCATCTCATATGTTTGAGGGCTTTTTCTATATTAGTACTGAAAGTCATAAAGTTTTTGTGTGGTTTTCTGAAATGACTTAATTTATGGAGAATAATTTTTTTAAACAATTGTATTTTAATCTGGTAGTTATTTAAAAGGAAAATGCTTTTGGCTATGCTGTCATTAGAATGCTGATTTCAAAGTACACCTGTACCTCAGGATGAAGTGTGAAAAAAGATATTTGGTTTAAAATGTGACACATTTGTGTTTCAGTTTTTTCCTATTTTAAAATAGGCTGCATTGATGACAAGGCTAGACCATTTTATAAAGGGTGTGGTCTGTCACTGGATGTTAAATGTAATGTCTGTAGGTAGGATGCTTTGGCTAAGGAGATCCTTGAAACTCTATTGTGGAAAGATGAGGTGAGCCATCACAGAAAGTAACATTCTCTGTGTTTCCTTAGAAAGAAAAAGGTCTTAGACAAGAAAATGACCTAGCAAAGACAAATCATTAAGTGCTACACTGTGATGATTACAGTATTTCTTAAGAGAGGGGATGTATGTGAGAGGATTTAGGGAGTTGGATTTTCAGTAAGCATCAATAATCCTTGCTTGCATTAACTAGCTTGTAATGTTAGAAACATGTGACATAGAAACTGTTCTGTGATGATATGCACAAACATTTATTTTGATAAAGAGCTTTTTTAAAAATTACTTCTAGGTAAATGGAGTAGATCTAAAAGCAGCAACCCATGAACAAGCAGCAGCAGCCCTGAAGAATGCAGGCCAAGCAGTAACTATCGTAGCTCAGTACCGCCCGGAAGGTAAGGGTTGCCTTACACATTCAGAACTTGATGGAAATACCAACAAATAGCCAGAAGTTGTTACTTTTGAACTTCACAACTGTCTTCACCATTTTTATGTGGTAGTTATATTTTCCTTTCTTTGATTTTGCTAAATTGGATGGCCTGTCTTTAAATCCCCTTGCAGAGATTTGTCTACTCAAACTTTCATTAACAGTACTGTCAAGGGGGAAGTTTAGATGTTTATTAGGAGCGGATATTGAGCAGGACTGCTGTCTTCATCTGAAATTTTTAGGTAGCCAGTTGCAGCACAGTCTCCTCAATTTTTCATTTCTTCTCTTCTGCCATGTTTCTTGTATTCTGACCTCCCTGAGTTTTTGAAACATTAGGTTTCACATTCCATTCTCCTCCCCCTCCACCCACATCAGTGCCATGTATCTCCACTGACCCAGCAGCTCTGTCAGTCATGAGAAAATTGATTTGGCTGTTTCTAGTTCATGGTCAAGTATCTTGAGAAGGTGTGCATCTTGTTCACATGTTGAATCTGTAGATTGCTCTGTTTCAGGATTCATTTTCTAGGAAGAATGGTAAGGTCAGCATTGGTTCTGGAATATTTGCTTTGGCTTTTTGTCAGAGCTGTCAGATACTCCTGTCGATACACATTTGGCCTATCCTCTGCTTGGCTCTTCAGTGTTGTACAAGTGGATCAAATTGTTACACTCTCTGCCTTCCTGCATAGGGATCCCTCAACTTAGTGAGAAATAAAACTTGTGCTTTGTTTTGCTCATGAAGTTGACCTTTTGACCTTCTGGCCACTTTTTTGTTGAAAAGAGGGCATTTTTGGTCATTACTCTGCCTGGAAGATATGTTGAGGTGTGGCTTCTAGGAGGAGAACTAATGTTTCTCTGGTAGAATATATTCCAGAACATACACGCTTTTTTTTAGCTTGCCAAAACATGTACTCAGACTGCATGCACAAGAAGTGGCTTTTCAGTGTTCTCTGTGATTCAGGCTTTAAAAAAACAGGAATGTCTTCATACTTTGAAAATCATAACTCTCCTTTTAGAATAAGAGAACTAAACATTTTGGATGGTTCCTACTCTTTCTGCATTGGAAATAACAGCTTTCTTCATTACTGCTTGTCACATAGATAACTTATTTTCTTGTAACATATATTGAGGTGCTTGACTGACTGGGATTTTGAGTCATTGCACAGAGATTTGCCCAGAGCAGCATACACTGCCTTTTACAAATTCCTCAACAACTGTCACTTGTAGACTTCAAACCTAGAGCTGTACTCATTCCTTCATGATTACTGAAGCATTCAGAATAAGACTGCATGGTTGAGATGTATTGGGAGTGCAGTTCTCAAAGAATTATAGGATACATTTGAGAGGATACATGTGGCAGATGTTACTCGAACTACACTAGATAATGGGCAGACATCTGGCACGTTATTTAAAGAAAGGATATTTTGTTTTTTAAGATGCTTGGCCTGCACGGCAGTCTTTTTTCTGAAACAGTGCTTAAAATCTCCATTTGGAGTGAAGGTGTTGTAAGCATGTTAGGGCTTTACCCTTTTGAAGTATGATGTGAAGAAAGTGTATCTAGGAGACTTGAGTTCCACTGTAGCTGACACATGGCCAGCCTACCTTAGAGAGCTCAGGTTACTAATGTCTGACTTGGTCTGACATCTCTGCTTGTAAAAGAGTTTTTCTTACTCCTTGTAAACTCCAGCTGTCAGCTTCTTTCAGGTCTGGTATGGGAGGTAAGTTGGATCAGATACTCACTGTTCATATTGTAGTGATTAGTAAAGAGAGTATTTCCTTAAAGGTTACTGTTTGTTTATTATCAAAGAAAAGCAGTCTGTTTGAGGTTTGATTTCCATGTAGAAAATACCATCCATGGGATTGAGTATACTTGATAAAAGTGCATTGATCATCTTCAGATTTCCTAAATTATAATTCTGGATGGTCATCTTTTCTCCTCACTTGATTAAGTTGGGAAATTTTATATATATGTTTATATAATTATCTCCACCTTTTGTTTATGGTATTCAGAAACAGGTTAAGAGGTATTCAAATGAAGAGTTAAAATATTATTATTAATCATTGGTGTTTCTCAAATGTCTTCATAAAGATGAAGAGCATCAGTTATAACTGCTTGTATTGCATATGTATTTTACTTGTATTTATAAGTCCAGAAGGATTTTGTAAAAGATTCTGACATCTAGGACAGATCAAGGAGATTCTAGACATCCATCAGAGTTCATTATACCTGGGTAAATAGATTCAGTATGATTGGAGCATTTGGAAGACACTTGGGACCAGCTCACTTCACTCCCTGTAATTCTATGTGACAGTTTGTATATTCATAGATATGGTGGGGAATAGTAATTTATATTTTTACATCCTACCACACATAAATGCTATCAGAAATTTCCTAGTTGTCTTTCTCCTCAGATTTCTGGGAAAAAAAGGATTTTTGCAAGCAGTTGTCTAACAGAAAAGCCTGAGTAAGGTTTAGAAAAATTCATCAGTCCAGAGGTGTACAGTCCTTAGAGGACTCTCCCCTCATTTCACACTGACATTTCTATCATGATGTCCTTTCAAAATAAAAGGGCATCCGAAACATTTTTATGTGTTTTGAAAATGACATAATAATAGTGTTTCCTCAAAATTCAGAATTTCTGGAAGGTTAGATTTTGTCATTGTGAAAAGTTTTGAAGTGCCAGTGGGCTACCATGGCTGTATTATAACTTGAGTGCATCTCAGTTTTTAAAAAGAAGAAAAATAGCCAAAGAAATACATTAAAAATATAAAAATATATTTGGTTGAAATGTGATAGAAAGTAATTCTGTGATTTAAACTTTTTTCTCAAAGGTCGCTATGAAACACCACAAAATTTTATAATTTTGTCTAGTCCCAGAGTCTTTTTTCATGTAAGTTGACAGCTGCCTGTTATTTAGAATTTAGAATCTACATTGATCTTTGTAATTCAGCTGATCAAGTCCATCTCTATATACCCACTTGTTTTCAGAAAAGAGTAGTAAGATGGTTGTGATCAGATTAGGTCCATGTTCGTCGGTGATCAGGGGGATCAGGGTAAGATGAGAAGGTGGATCCAAAACCTGAAGAGAAGATTTTAAGGTTTTTTTCTAAAACTTCACTTCTGAACTTACATTGTTCATATATATGAATATATATGAATATTTATAAAATACATATATTGTTCATATATATTTATTGTTCATATAGGTAGTATACACAGTTTTTTCTTTCAGCTTCATTTAAGAAAATACAGGATTTTCCATTGCCAAATGTATTGAAGATGTATAGGTTCAATCAGAACACCTCATACTTTGATAACCAAATTTTAAGTGAATTTTCATGTATTGTTTTGTTTTGAAAGTAAGATCAGAGTATAACATTGTATTTATTGTTCTCTCTCATCTTTAACACAAATGAGTCAAAATAAAATAGGGTGTGTGGAGAGAGGGGAGACTTTGTTAGAGCTTATTCTCATGGGCAGTATTTGTCCAATTTTTGTGTTTGTGACACTTTGTCTGTGCACTGTTTCCTAGTGGAATTCAAAACAGAATAGAACTAAGCTCTGGAAAATGATAGCACTTTCGTGTGTGGTTATTTTATGACTATTTGTCTTGAAATATATTGTAAATCTTTTGGAGGAGCAGAAAGTCAATAATGCTTTTGCAAACTTATTTTTCAATGTTTATGTTTTATGAAGAGGATAAGCCTCCTTTGTTTTATAGCTGAGAACATGGATTGTTTTAATCAATTATTAGTACATCCCAATTTCAAAAAGAAAAATATTTTTTTAAAAATTACCCTCTTTTGGGGCATGTAGTCTCTAGTTTTCCAAACTTTTATTCCTGCTTGTTTTGTACCTGGTTCTACTAATTTGCAAGTAATCCAGATTAGTTAATTGAAGCACCTTTAAAATCAGGTCTATTAAGATTAGAAGAGTTCTGCTATATATAGTCGTGATAAATGCTGTAAGGCTGCTTATGCATGTTTTAATCCTTTAAAACCTTACTCCTGCTCTTTAATATAATACAGAAAATTGTCTGTCTTTAAGAATAGTTCAGCATTTTGGAAGTTGAGAATGTGTGGTAAACCCTCAATGACTGGTGAATTCACTTTATTAGTGACTACACGTAGTCTCCCTCTGAGTTTTGCAGGCTCTGTGGGAGGTGTTCTTAACTAAATAGAAATGTGATTTTTCTAATCTGTTTTGAAATTCTAAGTGGCCTAGTCTTTCAGATGATTAATGAGGTACAAGCTCATTACACATTAGAGTGCAGGAAAGGCTCCAATAGCATGTGGAATGCATTGAGGTCTCTCCCAGGTCATGTTAATATAAAATGACAAGTATTGAAGGAAACTATTATCTCCCCAGGGATTATTTATGATGTTTTTATTGTGGTCCATGCATTTTAATAGGTAAGCTCTTTGCTAGTATTCTTGATTGGTTGCACTAAATACTCCCCAACCTCCTTTATCAACTGAAATTTATAGTACAGTCTCTAATAAGAAAAAGATGTGCAAAACATGAAGGATACCTATGAATTTGTTAAATACCAGTGCAGATAATTAAGGGATGGTGGTGGTACAAGACTAGGACTCATGAATACAACTTCAGTCCTCTGTTGGCTGTGGTGGTCTTGCCTCATGAGTGTAGAATGGTAAATAAATGGCAGGTCATTACAAGGTCAGTATGATGAAGGACATCCTAACTTCCTACGAGGCTCCATTTCTTGGTTGATTTGGAGGCACTATGAGAAGGAAAACTGAATATTCTGAGAGTGGAGAAAGGAATGTAAATCCCTAGTTATATAAAACTGCCAGTGCAAGAGTCCTGCTTTCATAGATCCAGTGGGACCTGCTCAAGGAGGGCTTTCCACACACAGATGGGAAGAGGAGGAAGCAAAGGACATTCTTTTTTAGTTAGTGAACTTTTTCAGCACACTGTGGGTTCAGTATATGTAAGAATCTCTGCTTCTCACTTCTGTGCTGCCATCTGTCCCCTGTGCACACACCCATGTGTCCATGAGTTGCTTTTCCTTCTGTGCTGTTTACTGAATTTTTCATCCCTTGTCTTCTGTTCTTTTGCCCCATTTTTCGAACATGTTCCAGACTAAATTAATTTTCATTGTGGCCTCTTTTTTTCTTTTTCCCTGCCTGTACAGGCTATGCACTACATATCTGTGTTTATCACTGTCCTCTTGGTGCCCACCACCACATGGGCTGTCCAGGAGAGTTTCACTGCTCTGGCTCTCTCTGAAGTTTTGATTTCTGTTAAAGTAAATGTTGACATTGAAAACATCAGCTTTCTAGGTAAAATCACTTTAGGTGCTTAGAACTAGAGGAATCTTCCAGGATTTCCTGATCTTCTCCTTCCCCTCTATCTTTTTGTTCATTGCTGTGCAATATATGCAGACATGAAATAGAGCAGATTTATTCTAGTTTTGCACCATCTGCTTATCCATTTTGAACTTAAACTTGAGTCCAGATGTATCGATCCAATGTTCTTTAAAACTGATTATTTGTAAACCAGAGTAGGCTTTAGCTTTTTTTCCTTTGGTGATGGTGGGGTACTGTTGGACAAATGCCATGAATTAAAGCAGCAGATGCTCGTGCTTCCTCAAGCCCTATTTAATGATAGTAGGTAGTTCTCCCTCCCTGCTTCTAAACTTACTGGAAACTTTGAGAAAATTCCAGCCAAAAAGAGATATTATTCTTATGTTCCAATTGCATTTAATGTTAGTCTTGCTGTCTGTTACTGGTGCTATACAACAAGTAAAGGGTAACTTTCCTAAAATTCAGAACATCAGAAGAGATCTTGAGTTAAGTCCCAGTCACTGCTGTTGCATATACATCAGGTTTCAGATCCTGGTCAAAGTGTTACCTGAAAGGATTGAGCGTTTCAGTTGTGTGGGTTTGTTTTGTTTGTTTGTTAAATTTCATTTCAAAGGTGGGAGGGAAGGTTCTTGTGTCACTGAAGTTGAACCAAGCCTAATTAGTCAACAGGGAATGGGTGCTGATCCTTTGGGTACCAAACTGTTGGTGCTTTACTGATGCTATCAAGAGTCCTGCTGTTCTCTTAGTTTCTGTCTGTAGCACTAGTTTCAGTACCACTGTATTCAATACCAAGCTTTCTTTTTTTAAAAAAACAACAAAATCCTATCTACTTTTCAGCTTCAAACCAAATGATACTGAGTTTTCTATCTACCTTGTTCCTCCCAAAGCCTTATGTAAGATGAATGTAACTCAAATTTTTAGCTTGTTCTGCATCAAAAGAGCTCATCAGATTCCATCTGCACAGAGTGTTTAAGCTTTCTCTAAATATGACAGCTCTTGGCACTCCTTCTTGAACATCGAGCCTTCTTGGTCCCAGCCCCTTGAGTTTCTTTTTTTGCTTTATTGGTATGGCAAGAGCCTCTATGTAGAAATTACTCTCCTAACTCCTACAGATGTCCCTGTCACTCATTTAGCATGCACTTCACAGGAGTTCTGTTGAGAAAAATTAAATTATGCCAAGAGCACCAAGCTGGAGATGGTACACATGATAGAGTTAGGCAACAGTAAGGAGTAGCTTTTCCTGTTAACTCTCTTACATACTACATCATACATATGAGGAAATTGGATTCTTCCAATTGATGATACATAATACTTAAGAGAAATTTGTATTTTTTTCCAGTAGATATTGCAAAGAACTGCAGATACTTTCAGTACTGAACAGTCTACAGCACACAAAAGTTCTTGCTTATTTTCCTTTCCTAGAGTAGGCATAAAAAACCCTCTTATGTCAGAAATCTCAGCTACCATTCTTGTACTGTGTTTGAAGTTTAGAACTTTGATCTTCCAAAACACCCAAGAAACAGGCTTAAAGTACCATTTCTCAAGTATAAATTAGTAAAATGAGGTGACTTGCCCAAGGCCTTGCAGTGCAGCTGTATCACAGGAGTAGCTTATTCTCTTCCTGTACCTGGGTCCTTTCCCTAAGGGATATAATAAAATCATATCATGATCTATGTTGGAAGGAACCTTAAAGATCTTGGATGCTCAGAGTCCCATCCAACCTGGCCTTGAACACTTCCAGGGATGGGGCATCCACAGCTTCCCTGGGCAACCTGTTTCAGTGTCTCACCACCCTCAGAGTGAAGATTTTCTTTCTAATATGTAATCTAAATCTGTCCTCTTACAGTTTTAAGCTTTCTAAACCCCATCATTTTCTTATATTCTTAGGTTACCATTCTTTCATCTTAAATTCTGCTGTTAGTGATAGCTTTGATAGTGGTGGAAATAATGTTTTTGTTTCTTTGTCAAATGACCTGATGAGTGCTGGTAAATTATTTCATCTGGATGTTATTTGTAAAAGGCACTTTATGCTGTTTTTGAAAATCAAAACACTGTCTTAAATACTACTAGCTTTTTGGTTTTAAAGTACAAAAATCAGGGTTATTTAAGAGAGCGTTCTTATGATAGTCTTGATAGGATTGACAGTAGTTGCTATTGCTAGAGCATCAGATTTGTAGTTACCTTGATAAATGAAGTGATATACCAGAAAGTGGTTCACAGAATGTTTTTCTGTAACTTAATATTTTTTTTCTTCTTCTCTGGTTAGTCTCTAAGCCTTGGTGCTCACTGAGTGCAAGTGGTACAGAATGTAATACAGAAAATAATTAATGGTGTTTAGATGACTGCTGAAGCAACCTTAGTTGAAATATTTTTGCATTTTACATCCCTCGTAATCAATCTTGCATTTCCTAAGTAAATTTGATGCCAGCAGGGAATGAGGGTGCTGTTGGGAAGAGCACCACACTGCCCAATTCAGCAGCTGCTTTGCTGCACAAGCCGGGCTTTCCCAGCGTTGACTTGTAATCTGGCATCACGTGGTCATCTGGCAAAGGTGGTGGCTGCAGAACATTTCCTTTAACTAGAAACATTTTACAAGTGAACCTGTTGGTCCTGAAGTCCAAACTATTCAACTGAAGGAACAACTTAGTTGTTTTGAGTTCTTATTTTATGCTGACAACATGTAAGTACCTTGCTTCAGGAAGTTTGTCCTGAACAAGCTGTTCCTATTTTGCTGCCTGTCTTAGTAGCTAAAATCAAATGTATTTAGTTTAGTTTTATTAGTACACAGTGCTGCTTAAGAACACAATCCGTTTTTCCAGGATTAACATTGTACATAATTCTATACAGGGAGTTTGAATCTCTAATGCTGGATCAAGATTCATGCCAGAAATCTGGATATTTTTTCCTTTCCTAAGCTCCCATGGGAACGTTGTCATATTTAGATCATGTTCTGCATATTCCCACCCTGTAGTGCTAAATTCTTTATCTAATTCAAGTCCAGTAATTTCAAACTATCTTCTCAATGTTGTTTTTTCAGACCCTTATTTCCATTTATTAACATCTAAAAGTTAAAATATATTGTTCTTGATTATTAACATGTATTACAGATGTATGTTCTGAAGGTTTTTCTGTCATGTGTTAAAACGTATCTGTATTAATCTTGTTATTACTAAAAAAATTATAATTGTTAGTGGAAATGCTTGCTATAATTTGGAGTAAAAATAATTACTGTGAACTGTAGATTAAGAACAGTAAATTTTAAAAGCACTATTGGTAATGACTTCAGCTTAACTGCTTTGTCTAATTATAATTATTTCTTATTTCAGTTAAAATTGATAACTAAAACCTCACATAACTTTTAATTACAAAGCATAATGCTTAATGAAAATGTTGGTATTTGAGATACATTCTTGTATTAAAAAAGCTATAGCAAATGCTTCTCCGCTGAGATTTGCAGCATTTTTATGAGTAATTTACTTGCTGAAGTTGAGAGGAAATTGTTTGCATTTCCTCTCATTTTTTACAGAGTACAGTCGTTTTGAAGCTAAAATACATGATTTACGGGAGCAGATGATGAACAGCAGCATCAGTTCAGGATCAGGATCTTTGCGAACCAGTCAGAAGAGATCCTTATATGTCAGGTAATCATCTTTTTCATAGTATTGCTGGTGGTTTTTTCTGGTTTTCTGTAGTCTTAGTATTTCTGTATTTGCTTTTTTATACTATTATTTACTCATTATTGATCTTAATAAATTGATATTTATATGCAAAATATATTTTTTAAAATGTAACATAGCTGAAAACTAAGCACTAGCCCTCAGAACCTTGTATGAATTTGCAGTGGTGCTATTGCTTGCTTTTTGTCCTACCTCTCACAGAGTTGATAATCCTTCAGCAAAATCACATATTTCTTTAAGTCAGTACATGTGAAGTCTCAACAACTTGTTGAATTCAGTTTTTGTGACAGTAGTATTAATATTCTTCCTTGTTTAGTTCCTGAGTTCAAATTTACAATCTCCCTTTACTTCGGCATTGACGATTTTCATCTTCTGTCAGCTTCCTTTAGTTGTATCTCAGCTTGAATTAAGAAATCATGTCTATATCCTTTAGCATTTTGTTCTAGAGTATTTTCCATGTTAACCAGGAGAGCAAATGCATCAAAGCAAATGAACTAAATATTCTTCATTAATTTACTTATATGGAAATAAGCATAAAGGAGGCTGAAAGACAGTGGAAGTATAAAAGAGAATGAAGCAGTTAAGAAAACAGGTGGTTTCACCAGGAGATTGCTGCAAGGTGCAACTAATTAATTTGCCAACTAATTCCTCTTTCAGCTTTATCTGAAATCTTGTTCTTTTTTTTGGTATTTTGTTGGCTTTAAGTAATTTTGAGGGTAAAAAATTAAATTTTAGGAAAATGCCTTAAATACTAAGGATGAGTGCTTAATATCACAGTTATCCATGTCTCAGAATTTACACAGGTAGTTGTATGTATGGATGTTGTGGTGAGATCATTTCCATAATCCCAAGATTTATTGCTTTAGCCCTCATCACATAACTAAGCCCAAACAATTCTAAATGCTTTTACTTTGCTTGGTTAGCTGTAGCCTGATTAGGTTCTAAACAGCTTATGCTCATGTTCGCACACTGATCTGGTATTTTAAGCCCTTCACAAGCATTTTGTGTTCATGTAAATTTATTCCACTTATGAAAGTTATCTGTAGGTGGCTGAGGTTGAGCTTTTGGCTTTTCCAGCTGCAGAAAATGCAGCCTTCTCCAGGTTGCTGGCGGGAGCCTTGGGGGCACTTATGATTCCCTTTGAGGAAAGGTTTTTGAGACTTGGTTATCAGATTTATTGTAAGTAAGAATGAAAATCTAAAATGCAAAAATTCTTCAGGAAAAGTACTTTTCCACCCACATCTCTTAACAGAGGGTGCTGCTGGGGCTTTTGAGATCATCTCCTGTCATCACACCAAAAGATGCTAAAGACTGGTGGGCAACTTGATGTACACAGAATGGGTTCACATCTGTTCTGTCGTGTTTCGGGTGGAATTTTGACCTCACTGAAATAAGCTTTATGAATCTTTTCACATATTGCTGGATACTGACAGAACATGTTGGTTATTCAACTTGTTCTGTATGCTAAAGTCACTCTGGTATGATCTTTCGGTACTTTCAATTGTACCAATTCAAAGCCAATTTTAGTAACTGAAGCTGTCTTTTTTTTTTTTTCCCCTGTAATACTTGGTTTTGGATATGCCTTGAGAGAGTCCAGTTATATAACAATGTTGAATTGAATGGTAAATCTGACAGTAAGATGTTTATAGGCTTTCAACCACAATTGTAGAACACGTATCAAATAAAATACTGAAAATTATAAGCTCTGGTTATTTCCAAAATCATGGTAACAAAATAGCAGATAAAATCAGAGATATCATCGTGTCCCCATAGCTGAAACTTGCTATCTTTAGTAATAGCTTGCCCATAAACAGTTGGGGGTGTTAGGCAATATTATGGAAAAGGCAATTGGTCTGAAATTGTTGGTCTGAAAATACAATTTTAAAGAAAATGGCAGATTTTTCTGCTTAATTTTATATATATCGATATATGATGAATAGCAATATTACAGTCATTGGATGGCAATACAAATACAGCAATTCAGCAGCAACCAACTCTTCATTTGCACACCTAATTCTTTCTCTCTTACCCCCAACTACTTAAGGTGTACAGTTTCAGTGGCCTTATATTATTTTTGCTTTGTATTTCTTCTCATTTGAGAGGAGAGATTCTTTCATGTCATGTTTTTAGTTTTGCATTTGAAGTATCTATAAGCTCTCCTCCATCTTCAGATTCAAAAAGCACATCTGAAAAAAATGAGATACTATCAAGTTATCAAGTTTCTAAATTTGGGAATAAATTTGTTCCATGTTTTATCTCATCTTGTATGTCAAGTCTCAGTCTGTGCAGTATGCATTTGATTCAAAACAGAAAATTGCTTTTACCTCTGCATTCTTCTGACCAGCATGATATATTTCAATTTCAAATAATGGTGCTGATTTCTGCTTCATTCGGAGCAGACAATTGTTACATCTCCAAGTGGAAGAAACTTTACAGTTTTGAAATCATTAGGAAATTTTAACTAAATGCTTTGAAAAATAAGGTACGGAATTAGCATGAGGCTTGAGAAGTGTGCTCACTTGCAGAAGGAGCTTCATTGGGCATCCCTATGTTCTGATAGGTCAAACATCTAGTTTCTAACAGCTTTCCCAAATACTCAGTGATAAAAAATACCTCCTTTATAGGCTGACCTTCATTCATTCTGAAGTGGTGAGGTTAACTTGTGTTCCATGAAATAAGACAGGGCTTTTGCTCCAGGAGTTCTGGATTGCTTTGTTCAGCAAAAATATCCTAAAGAAGAAATGCTTCAGTAAAGCTTGGTAAACAGCCTGTGATTTTGAAAGTAATGAGTGTGGCCAGGTAAAAGCACACTCTGTAAAATTTGGCCTGGTTAACACAGCCATTAAATTTTTGGCTTTGAAGCAATAATAATTTGTTGATGATTTTCAGCCTGTGTCAAACAGGCACCTCTCACTTTACGTAGGTGAGGTTTATACACCTTTTAAAAATGCAAAATAAGAGTCTTTTATAGGGCATAATCTTTGGAGTATCTGTTCGAGTTTGGTAAGAGGCTCCTATCATTATTCCATTTCCAAATCCCCACTAAACCCTTGACTGCGCTGGAAGAAACATACTGCAAGTCTCCACAGTGCCTAAGGGAACCCATCCAAATACAAAATGATTTAACAGGGAAAAAGGAATTTAATTTTAACCCAGATTAGTTCTAGAGTATGGTGCTCCATGAGCCTTTCCAGACATTTGTGCTTTCGTAAGAAGGGGAAAGGAATTGGTACAAAGCAGGCATGAATGCAGGTATGGTAGTAGTGGGCTTGCATAAACCAACCTTGCTGGCAAAGGGAATCGTAGTAGAAGTGTAGCCATGCAGCTGGTGTTCAGGTATTGCTAGTGCCTGTTATTTGAAAACAGACTTACCTTAGAAAAAAGAATGAGGTTTTCTTGAAGCGGTTGGGAATTTTCAAAAAGAATGCATGTAAGATTCTTTCCCTTCTGGAACTGCAGTGGCAAAGTTGTGTTCAGATGGTATTTCTAGGGTTTTTTCTCCTGCAACCCTGTGAGCAGGATATTGACTTTTATTTTAAAGACAGTAACTTTTATTTACTAAAATAATTCCAATTTATAACTTGATATAAAATTGTGTACCTTATGGAACTTTCAAGCACAATGTATCCTTCAAGTATTTGCTTGCCTTTTTTATTCTAAGCTGACATGTACCTTGCTCTGTGTAAACTACTTATTGAACTGCAGAGAGTATCCTCTGTGAACCTTGTAAGAAGCTTTTCTTATACAGAGTTTTGCTCTGAGTGAAGTTGGTTTTCATTCATTCAAAACTTACAAGTGTGTGTGGATACCGTGCTACATATTCTCTGTGTTTCTATGAGAGACAGTGCATTCGGTGTTCTTGTTTGAGGCAGCTGTCAGAATGGTGCAGTAACTTAGGAACAACAACACATGCAACTTGCTTCATATTTTCTGCTATTCATACTCCCCATTTTTTTTCTTGCTTTTTCTATATTTCTGTGTTTATTTTTTCTTTGCAATGCAGAGCTCTCTTTGATTATGACAAGACTAAAGATAGCGGCCTTCCGAGTCAAGGATTGAACTTCAAATTTGGCGACATTCTCCATGTCATTAATGCCTCTGATGATGAGTGGTGGCAAGCACGGCAGGTAACTCCAGATGGAGAAAGTGATGAAATTGGAGTTATCCCAAGCAAACGCAGGTGTGTTATTTTATTTACTTACAATGTCTATTAAACGTCAGATACAATAGTACATAGGCTTCCCTCTTTGTTGTTAATTCTGTACCACATCAGCCTCTTGATTTTCCTTTTTTTAAAAAAAAATAAAATAAATCTGTAGTGGGCTTCTGACTAAGCTAATGAGAAGTTTGTTAAAATCCTATTTAGCCTTAGGAGTTGCATGTTGAAGTTGATAAAGGTGGTCTCAGTCCATTTCTCTGTTCTCACTGTAAGCAAGTTATGGGTTTAATAATAATTGTAGGTTTAATAACAATACAATTACATATGAAAATGTACAAAGTGAATTTTACACTAATCATGACACTATCATGAGTTCTTTGTACCCAGAACCTGGAAATCTGGTGAGCCTTTCTTTGGTGGCCAGAATAAACAGAAATGGAAGTGTTTGTTGGCATGCTAGAGACCCAAATAAGAGATTAGATGATCTGAATCTTAGTATCTGCTGGTGTCTCAAAATCGAGTGTGTTCGCTTATTGTGTAATTTGCATCTTCTGGATTTATTGAAAATATATAATCACATAATACTGCAATGCCTGGAGAACTCGTCACTTGAGAAATAGTACCCTACTTTTCCAATGCAGTTTTCCATTAGCAACCTTCCATATTTGGAGGGTAGCATCAGCTGTAAAAATCAATACTAGTAAAGATACACCTGTGTTTGAACAAGTAGTAAATTGAAGTTCTGGAAATTTTGCTGATTTACCATTTTTGTCTATGTTTTTGTGGTAGAGTCGAGAAAAAAGAACGAGCCCGTTTAAAGACAGTGAAATTCAATTCCAAAACAAGAGGAGATAAAGGGGTGAGTTAATGAAGTGCTGATTACACCTGGCATTGTGAACGGTAAAATTTTTCAGTTTTTAGTGAAAAGATTCAATTCTGTCAAATTGAGCACTAAAACAAATTTTAGTTACCAAAATGCTGCAAATTATTTGAAGAATTAGCTTAGAAATACATATTTTCATTAGTACTATGATGTAATAAGAGTTGTAGGTACTAATCAAGTGTTGAATAGTGCAATTTCTAACATGCTGCAAGTGATGCTTATAAAGCAGTTTACTCCTTTAGTATGGATTGTACTCCTGGAGTCCCTTTTTTGGGGAAAGGCTTACTACTGTATTTCAGAAAAAGTAAAATGTTTATTTTTTTCAAATTTTTCATCTTTTTATTCATCTACCAAATAGGGAAGTAAAGCTCAACAGGATCCCTGTGTTGAAATGAGGCTTTGCTGTGTACACAGTTACACAGACACCTCATAAAGTAACTTCTTTGATACAACTATGGATGTGGAAGCTTTACAGAATTTCATTCAGGAACATGGGCCAACAAAAACTCAAGGCAAGCACCATTGCTCACTAGAATCAGTCTGCATTTCACAGCTGCTTTTGTCACCACCACTCTCTACTGGTGCAAATACTGATGTGGCTGTGCTTAAATAAAATAACCAATGTAGAAGGAAAAAACCCCAATCTGAAAGAAATCCTGTTTTAAGTTTTAGTCAATTCCTTGGTGCAGTTCACTGCATGATATGCAATCCCTGTCCCAGTACATGTGATGGGAATGAGTGGTGAGAAAGCAGGGTAGCTACATGAATAGTGATAGGAGTGTTTAATATCTGAAATTACAGCCATTTCATAATGGTGTAACAACCACTTGTTTGTTATTTGTGAGAGTGAGGCTTTTTGGCTGAGTTTTTGGTAATTTTAAAATTTTACCATTTCACAACCTTATCGTTTATACCAATAATGTACAACTAGTAATTTCAAGACTTAATTATATGCATTTTAGATGTAAAAGGTCTTGTAAAATAATAATATATTGGCATTTTTAAAAATCTGAAACCTTGTTTAAGCTCCTGAGGAAGATATTTCTTGAATACTGATTTTTTTAATAGCACTGATGCTGTGACATTAGTCATTATTGTAGATCCCAATTATTTCTTTTAGTAATTTATTTCAGTTACAATGTTTTAATAACTTCAAAAATCGCATCTATAGAGTATTAAAGTTGAAATACTTTATCTTGATACTGTAGGACTTTACACTTTAAAGATTGGTCAGAATTATGTGTTCTTCCTTCTGCTACATGGCAAAGGTTTCAGTTTAGTTTATGAATCAAAAAAATAGTTGTGGTTTTTCCTTTAAGTATTTGTTCAAAAGGAAATCAGTATCTAGTTATCTTCTGATGAACAATTAAAGCACTGTCATGAGGATTCACTGGATTATTTGCTCTTTTTTCTGGTTTGGTAGATTCACATTTTGGTATTTGAATAAAATGTTATCAACTGATGTGGTAATTTTTAACCTGACCATTTTTATAATTTGAGTTCACTATTTAGAAGTCACAAAGAAAATGGCTGAAGTATGTTAGATTATTTTAATTTCATTAAGGATTTTTTCAAATGTTACAAATGTTCTTTAAAAGATAATTGCATGGTTTTGTAGTTTGTCTACCAATAAACTGCAAACAGTTAATTAACAATGTATCTGAAGCAGCATTTTGACAATAGCAGATAGTGCACAGTCCCTGTGCTGATGTGGCACCACAGATACGCATGGAAAACTGAGTGGAAAAGCAACTACGCTTGCCATTGATATAGAACTGCAGTTCTTTTTCTTTAGTAACATCTCATTTTGCAAACATGCTTATACTGCTCAGTCTTCTGCTTCAGCTTGTAGATATTTTAATGTCATGGTTTCTCCTTAAAGTATTCTTCCTGGTGATATTTTTTCCCGGTAGGTTGTCTGCACCATACATGTCCTCACGGACTGTGTGCCTTCCTATGTCTGTTTATGATAATACTCCATGGACAGGATGAAGTGCCGACTTTGTACAATTCTTCACAATTTGTACATTAAAACACAAAAGAATAACCCTAGTGATGGCAAACATGAAAATCCATGTTCCTTTCATGTTAAGTAAAACTACAAAATCTGGAGTAGAAGTGGTTTATTTTTTCCTTTTTTGTTCCTTTCACATACACATTTGTCTCACTTTCTGTTCTGCTTCTGTTTTAATCTATTCTTGCTTATGCCTGTGTATGATTTGCAGTGGGCTTATGAAAAATTTAATACAATTACTATGCATTTTCAACTAATAACCGATTCTTACTAGCTTTTTATAATCATGATATCTTTTTAAAATCTCTTGGCTAATCTTTTATGCAAAATCAGTATAATATTACTTTTATTTTCTCTTTTGGCCATGGAACTGACTCTGACCATTATACATGCAGTATGTAAAATTTAATACCAGTTTAGTAAGATGTACTATACAAGCAGTTAAAATAATTACTGCTATGAAATATTTTCAAAACTTAAAGTAAGAACCTGATTATGTTTTGCTAAGTCAAATAAATCAGCCACTTCTAATTGTACTATACAAATTCCAGTCTCACCACCTCAGTTAGACTGCAACATTTGAGCTTTTTTAGATTTATTTCCCCTGTTCTTTTGCTAAAGTGAGGCTTTTCTGAATGAAACAGTTACATAGATGTGAGGCTTCTGCTTGTTGAAATTCATGTTACAGGATTTCTCAGTATACTCAAAAAAGGTCTGATCTGGTGGATTTCTTTGTTGCCCTTGTTCTGTAGGTTACATCAATATTTCTAGTTATGAGAAAACAATTGCTGTGACTTGCTGAGTTCAGGTTAAGAAGGTCAGGAGAACCGTAACCTGGAACCTTGCCTATGCCAACTATTACTCCTGTAAGCATATGATTGGCTTGAGGCCAGTTCTTCTGTCCATATGTCAGGTTGATAATTTACCAATTCAAGTGGAATGTCAGTTTTGGTTGAACACAGATGCCAGGCAACTAAAGATTTTATGGATTTCCCAATTAACACAGCATTGTTGTTTCCAGAGCTCAATGTCCCCAGCTGTGCTCCCATGATACCATGTGCCTCTTTAACACCTGGTAATTTTAAGCAATTTTTTTTTAAAAGAAAAACAATGAAAATATCACTGGATATTGATATTGTTGGCCTGATATTGCCAAGCAAGTCTGTATGAAAACAGATGGCCAGAAGGATTGTTAATTCTGGAGCAGGATGTAGCTTGTGTGTTGCACTACATGCATTCTCTTTAGGAAAGCGAAACGTTAAATTTGTAATTTTACCAAAGAAGGTGGCCCATAATTTGAAAAAACTTTGTACTATTTGACCTCTAGTTGTAACTATGTTTAATTCCATATTTAATGCTGGTAGAAAAGATAATGTATCTCTTACTCTGTTGCATGTATGAAGGAAGATGAGCTCACACTGGCTGAAGACAGACAAGCAACTACTTTAGAGTTAGCTTGCTCCAAGTTCTAGAAATAGCTGTTAATAGAGTTGTTAATGTATTGATTTATTTTTTTTTTAAGTGGTTTTTAAAAAACAGTTCTGTGGAAATTTTGTTACTTCCTGCTGCACATGGGCTCTGCTTGTCTTAGAAATAACCAGTCCCACTGCAACATGGTGTTGCAAAACCAAGTTGTGCATCTTCTTACTTTTGCCATCCTTCCCATAATAGAGTTTCTGCAAAACAAATGACAAAAACATGACAAATTCATGGCTTGGCAAAACTGGTTAGATGATTCACTTATGCCTAAAGCTCAAAAGAAATTTAAGCTGGCCTCAAGTTAGCTGTAATAGTTCTAATTCTGGCCATAATTGCAGTAACAATGTTACTGATTTATTTATACCTTGAGTTTCTTTATTGACTTAGAACAGTAAATTAAATGTGCTGTAGGAGCAATGAATTGCATTTATGAAAAAGTGAAACAAATACAGTTTGGTTGTTGGTTTGTTTGAGTTACCTCTTCTTTTCCTCCACCTTTCTTCTTTTCCTCTCTTTACTGAGATTTATTGTAAGAGCATTTGATACAACGTCAGCGTTTTAACTTCCATTTTTTTTTCTGCTGTAGGATAGGTTATTTAGCAGTTGTCACCAAAGTATTTACAGTTTTGCCTTTGCAAATAGGTAACACTGGCAAATGCTTCTGGTGTACAGTTAGGATGTCAGCTGTTTGCAAAAGAATGTGTAAACCCTCAGCAGTGTTTTTTGTGGTGTTGGTTTTTTTTCTTCTATACTATAACTTCTATATTAGACAATATCAGTTATTTAATTGACTTTGAGTTCATTATGATTTGACCATCTTATAGCAGCCTAGTTTTTCACATCTTTTTCCACTCCCAGCAAGCCCAAATTGAAAATACAGTGAAATACAGGACAGGCCATATAGGATGAACCAGCCTGCCAGTTCTCTCAGTACTAAGCATGTGAAATATGGAGGGGGTGAGCAAAGCCATGATCCCAATCTCTATTTTTAATAAGCTAAGAAGATAGTGTTAAACTAAAATATGCACTGCATAATGTGGTTATAGGAGTCAGCTTCCACAAAGCTGCTGGTCTGGGCCTTTGTTCACACAGACATTAGACATCCTTTGTTTTGCCCCTCCTTCTCTTCTTCAGCAGTCATTCAATGACAAGCGTAAAAAGAACCTCTTTTCCCGAAAATTTCCCTTCTACAAGAACAAGGACCAGAGTGAGCAGGAAACCAGTGATATTGACCGTAAGTATGTGGCATTTGATGGAGAGCAAAGAACACGTAGAAGGGCCTGCTAGATTGCAGTAGGGTGTTACCCTGGAGACAGTTTCATGAGCTGCAACAGGCTAACAAGCTTGAGATGCCAATGACAAACCAACCTACAAAATCAATAACACCATTTGTTTGCTGTTGAAGTAAAATTTAACCCAGGAGTATCCCAGTTTGGAACAAACTGGGTAATACTGTTGAGTAACACTATGTACATAACTGGAGGAGGTTACAGCCTTCCAGGACTGTCAGAGGTGGTTCCTCACTTCTGACTTGGAGGAGAGTGCACAGCAACAACAGAGCTTGTCAGCTTCTCAAATTAGTTCCATCAGACCGCTTTCTTCAAAATCATTCCATTCTAATTTTATTTTCCTAATGAAGTGATGTTGTTGCCAGCACTGAAAAAAGTATCTTCTCAAAAAGCAGTGGCCTAAGTTTGCTACTTCAGACCTGGTCTGCTACTACCTGCCTTCTCTGCCACTTGCAACACTGATCACACTTCATGTGTCAGTCAGGTCAAATCCTACAGACTCATCTTCCCCTGTGATGTTCTGGGAACTGTCTCCTGTCGTAGCGCCAATTTTATATATTACTGACAATTATTTTCTTTGTGATTGTCTTTTTATTGCTTGCCCTCTGGGGACTACTCTGCAGGAGGTCCCTGACGACATGGGATCAAAAGGCCTGAGTAAGTGATCAAAATACTCCCAAGTTATTTTAACCTCCATCTGAAAAATTACTACTTTTTTTTTTAACAGATCACTTTGAGACTGGTGCTCTACTGGCATGAGGAGGTTGACTCTAAAAAACGTTTCATAAGCTTTTCCAGTTTGTAATGTTTCGTACGTTTTTGCTTTCAGGATCGTGTTACTTTAAGTTTATGTGACTATCCCATTAGATTTTTTTTGTTGTTGTTCAGAAGCTTGCCAGCCCTTGTTTGTCCTTGATAGTACTGTGGTTTTAAATTTGCTGATTTTTTTTAAAGTCACTTTTGTCTTTGTGTTTTTATTTATTTAAAAATAACCTATGACTTTTTACAGTAATAGTACAACTATTGCCGTAACACTTCAACTAGCTTCAATTTCAGCAGTTTTCAATCCTCTCTCTAGGTGACTGATGTTTACAGCTACTTAAAAGAAACATGAAACTTTGCTTAACCAACGCCATGAGAGTTTTTCTGTTTTAACTTATGTCAACTCCTGTGATGTTATAGACCAGGTAGAGGGGTAGCTAATAGAGGAGACACAAGTTTTTGTTATATTTCTTGCAGAAATTTCAAAAACTTGAATACAGTAAGATTCACAAGTTATTGAGTACCCTTTAACAGGTCTGTTTTTTGGACACAGGCACAACCATTGTACTAAAATTAAAAAGCCAAGACCTTGATTTCATCACAGATATTAAGCACTTCTATGGACTACCAAAATTATTCACTAAAGATATGTGACTAAAGGTCATTAAAATGAGTATTTCTTCCCAGGGCATAACCTATGCACAGTGTTCCTGAAACTACATGTTGGAAGTGTGTACTTCTGTATTTGGCCTCAATCACAAAAGAAAAATTCTAGTAGCTCTAACATTAATTTTCCATTTCTGAAATGGCTAGTTTCAAGGAAATTCTTGGTCTAGACCGTAGCGACCTTTATGGCCTTACAGTTTAGAGCAGAAGTTCATAAGCATCCTTTATGGCATTATCATCATAACCTACTTTAAACTATGTAATATAGTCCAGAAATGTCATAGGTGATTCTGTTATAAAAACAAGTGATTTCTAGCCTGGTTTTCAGCAAGGTCAGACTTGTTGAACCTGCCATACCACGATGCAAGCTGTTACTTGGGCTCATGTTACTTGGGCTCCAGGAGACTGCTGCCTGGCTTTACATCTTAGAGTAGTTGTGCCCACTGTCAGGCTGTCACACTTGTATTCTCAATTGGCAATGTCTCCCTTTCTTGTTAGCAAGCTTTTAAACATCACTATTTGCCTCTGCCATGGCAATGTGGATGTTCTTTTTCCAAGACAAGAAATTGAGATGGAAGTAGGTCTGAATTGCTGGTAGTCACAAACGTTAGGTAGTATTTGCCTATTTTTCCTGCATGAACATAAAGTGAAGGAGTTCAGGCAAGCCAGAGATTTGTGGTTTAAAGATATTAGTTCACTTTATCAAAAACATTTTAAAAGGATAATTAGTTTACTTATGATGACTAACTTTTTAAAATGGTTATTAATCCCTAGAAGCATACTTGCTTCATAATTGTATTCCTACCTCTACAGTTCCCTTGTTTCCTTATCTTCAATCTTGTAGGGAGGAACAGCACTAAACCTGATGTACCATAAACTCACTCTTGATGACAACAGTGTATATTATTGTATGCATGCAGTTAGGTACCTAGTTTCATATTAATTGTATTTAATTTGTATACATCAAACACAAGCTACTTGATGCAGTCGTCACCTGTGAATGTTAGTTTTCATTAGAAATAGACACATACATTGGGTGGCATGAAAATTGATTCTTTACAACAAAGTTCAGAAATATCGAAGTTCATATTCACCAGATTTGTAGAATTTTCAGGAAACAGAGTAGATTGATACCTGAAATTCTTCAAGTGCATTAATTTTTATAATAAAGCTCTGTAACAATAATACATAGCTTAATCAAGTAAATATAAACACTTTGTAGCTACTTAGGTATTCTTAATACTATGCAAAAGGAATGAAATTATAATAGTCCAGAATAAAAATCAACAGCTTCTGAAAACTAAGGCATTACTGGGCATAAAAGATAATCTTCATTCTGCATTGCATTTGAAGTAAACTATTTAGTATAGCATAGGGAAGTGTCTGTTGTTGAGAGTGCCACTCTGTATTTTTGCAGAACATTCCATTGATTTCTGCTATAAGGCTGTTAATATAATCAGTAAATTGTCTGTACAGAAGTTGAAATGCATAACCCATAGTTTTTGCACAACAAAATGAATCTCAATGAGCAAATCTAAAAATCGCAGGGTTTTGTGTGAACTGTGAATTGGTTTACTTTTCATAATCTTATTTTTGTGCTGTTTAATGTCTTTATTAACATCAATTCCTTTCATGTGAAATTAAGCTTGATCCTGAGAGCTATGAAATGTACCTTAAAACTTTTATATGCAGTGTGTATTGATTTCAACATGTTGATATCAGTATTGTCTTTCATCTGGATTATTTTGTCAATTTGCTTTCTTTTGGACTCATGCCATTTAGTGTATGTTCCTTATTTTTTTCCATTGTGTTGCAATTTCAGAGCATGTAACCTCTAATGCCAGCGATAGTGAAAGTAGTTACCGTAAGTGTTTTTAAGTTATTTGTTTATTTAGAATCTTTGTGTAGTTCCTTTGATTTTATTTGTCTGTCTTTTCTGGGTATTTACATGTTAAGTAGAGCTTGCCAATCACCTTCAGGTGAAATCCATATTCATATGTTTGATGAGAAACTGTAAATTGTGCTCTGTTTTTAAAAATCGGACTAGAGAGAATAATTGCACACCTTTTGGTTATTCTTTATTATGATCTATGATTTTCTTAGTTCAGCTTAATTTTGATTTATTCCTTTTTAAAATTATGTGAGCTACCTAGACCTGTTAAAACCTAAATGTAAATTTAGTGCTGACAAATGTAATTACATGTAGCTCAGCCTAATACTGGAAGCATAACTAAACTGTGTAATCTGTTAAATATTGCAATAGCTATCCACAAGTTTTCATAAATGATACTTGGATTTAATATTTATATACTTCTAACAAAAGTGAAGGTAAGCAAACATGTATGTACCCTTGCTTACAGCTTTAATTTATCTGTTTTGCCAAGTCTGGGTGCTTAGAATAAATTGTCTTTAAAGCATATGACAAATATCCAGTGCTGGAGTCAGTTACAATAAATCAGCATGCTAGGCATGGGTGCACAGCCTCTCTTTCTCTGAAGACATGTTATCTTCCAAATACTAGACTGAGTTAGCTTTTTACTAGCCCAAGCTACAGTATGAAAGTTATGGTTCTGTTTATTACCCAAGGTGCAACAGTAGTGAGTGTTCACAGTGGGCAATACATTGCATAATGCTGCTCTAAAATGCTTTAAGGATGTCCTAAATAGAGACAGAATCAATCCCACCAGTCCTTTCTAGTGAACAACTCCTCAGTAAGGTTGCACAGTCCAGACATGAAACTCAGAGCAGAGCAGGTAGATAAACAAGTTGAGGTTTTGATGGGAATACAAAAAGAGAGTTAAAGTCACACAGTGGGACACTGGGTGGCTCAGTGCTCAGCTCCTGTGTGCCTGCTAACTGGACAATGGGCACTTCAGAAACAGATGTTGTCTGTATTAGGGTTCATTAACAGATATATTTGTTTGGAAGCTGTAGATTTTCTCAGAGGTGATGATGCACAATGTTTCTTCCAGATGATTGCACTGTAGGAGAGAATTTATACATAAGTAACAAATGCCAACAGTATCATAGACTGTCATTGAAAAGGAATTAGTGGTGGGAGTCATTTGTGTTCCATCAGAATAACACAAAATTAAGCATGTATGGAAGTTGCCTTTGACAAACTTAAAAGTTTTAACCATTTTTAATGACATGCCATTAAAACTATCTAACCATGGCTGTTCCTTCATAAATTTGCTTCTTTTTTCTCTTGTCACCCAGCTTTCCCCTAGCTAGGTTTTTCTCATAGCTTGCTTTATTTATGTTTACAGCTCGTTATTGGTACTACTAGTTAGGTTTTTACTCTGTTGATATTTGAGAAGCCCTGATTTTATCATGAATGTTGTGGATTTGTTTATCTGAACTTGTAATTACAAGCACTTCTTATTAAAATACATTTTTTTAATTTCTTCTTACTGCTGTCTAATATGAAAGTTATCTTGATTACAGATGAGTACGGTTGTTCAAAAGGTTCATTCTATTAGTATTCATTTTTCCAAAGTATTGAAAAGCAGTGACAATATATACTTTTTGCCCTCAATCAGGGGATGCTTTTTACTTATTATCTCCTTAATATTTTGTTTAACTAATTTTTGACCTTATAGCAATGTGACTTCTCCAAAGAAGTATCTAGTTATATGTGAGCTGGGTCTCAGAGGATTTGATAGATGGTGATTCCTTATTCCCCTCCCTAGACTAAAAGGGTTTCTGAAAGTATATACTGTCCTTCTAAAATCCATTTGCATGAGTAACTTTTCGAGATACTAAAGTATAGAGGTTGCATGTTGTCATGTCTGTCTTCAGATATTCCTCACTTGCAATAAATGAAAAAATTAAAATATTCATTCATGTATTGCTGTAGTCCAGTTTGAATGCAAGTTTATTGCGAACAAGAGAAGTTATTTCTCTTAAATCTAAGAGTTACTATGTCATTGAAGATCAGTGGTATTTGCTATGAATATATATATAAAAGCAATATATGAATTTATAAAAGCCTTCATCTGCCATCTGTTTTTATAGAACTGTGGTATTGCATTGGTATGTTCCTTTGCCTGTTTCAAGTGTACCTTATAAACTCCAAAGAATGTTGCAAAGTTACACAAGTGAATTCTTGAACAACTGGATTTCATTCAAAGTTCATATTAATGTCATATAATTTGAGCTTTTATCTTCACAATTATAAATTCTTTGCTGTCATGGAGTTAATTTTTGGTGATTCTATCACCAGAAATCTTGCTCAAGGTATCTTGTTAGACTAGAAATAAACTTTTGGAAAGATGGCAACTGAGATATTTCGGAATCTTTCGCTAACATTGAAAAAGGCTGCAGCTGTCAAAGCTCAAAATTCAGGTATTTTAGCTCCATTCACTGCTGATGTGCTCTCTGGAGTTGAGAACAATATAACACATTATTTATTTCCAACTTCATTTTTAAAAATTCATTACTAAAATAAGTATATACAGTCGAAACTTTGTGTAGAATTAGAGTGCTTGAAGATGTTTATATAAATGCCACCTCATTATTAAGTTAATGGAAGATATGTACACTTTTAGATGATTGTCAGCCCTCTGTAGATACAGAAATATGTTACTGTAAATACTAGCTTTGACGTATGGAGAATGTTCATGATGAAGGTGGCGTTGCCTCTGCCAGTGAAAGACAGCATGCATGCCTCTCATTCAGGGAATTGTGCATCAGAGCATTTCAACAATGCTTAAAAATTCTTCTTGTGCTTAATGTCAGTTTGACATGCTAACGTGAACCAGGGAATTACTTACTCTTTGTGTCTTAAGCTTTAAAATTTTGTTTGGCTTATCTTTGTGATTTTTATAATGCATCGCTCTTGGAAAATGTCCCTCATCAGTCTCATTGTAATGCATATTACTGAGCAATGTCTGTATCATTATAGTTCATTGAATGACTCAATTTAAATATATTGCTTTAGAAAAAAAATACATAGATATTTCTTTGCATTTACATTTTAGGTGGCCAAGAGGAATATGTCTTGTCATATGAACCAGTCAATCAACAAGAAGGTTTGTAGATCTCACTCAGTATAAAAATAAATACAATCAGAATTATCAGTGCTTGGTGTGCACTTACGCATTGAGCACCATGGTAAACTTCACTGTTTTGAACTTGTTACCATTATTCAGGTGAATAAAGCGTAAAAGCATAAATTATTAAATACAACAGTTAAATGATGTAGTGCAAAATCCAAAGGTGAGCTACTTAAAATAACATTATTTTTGGTTTACATTGCACAAGGAAAATATGGCATGTTTAGCAGTTTTGTGAGTGTGAACCTCAGAAATTAGTTTTCTTCTGTTTCGTATGGCTTTAGTTTTCTCACTGATGGAGCTCCTTGTTTTCTGTCACAGCAGAAAGTGTGTCAATAGATGATATGTCTATTTTAGTAAGCTTTAATTGAAATGTCTCAAACATGGCAGTTTCATTTTTGTACAGGCTTCTTGTATGGCTTGTTTGGTTAGCAATTGCCAAGTGGTGGTTTTTTTTTCAGAAAAAAAGTACTTTTAAATTAAATGGAACTTGGATGTGCTAAGCAAGCTGTACTTAAGCTAGGGAACAGGAGGTCTGTTACCCTCAAATGAGCAGCTGCTGGGTCTGTGTATATTTGCTAATCAGAGAGTCTCACAAGATGAGAAATGTCTTTTTAACTGGCATTAATTAGTTCCCAGATTCCGACAGCTTAATTGTTTAGTGAGAATGGTAGTAATATTAAGTGAATTAACATCAGGGTTGAAGAGAAAAGATGTGAATGAGACTTTGCACAAGCCTGTGGTTTAGTAACTGGTAAAACTCAAGATTTTTAGAGAGTTAAGTTCTTTAGCATTTAAATACATGACTGTAATTCCTTTTTAGTCTTAATATGGAGAAAGTCGTAAAAGATCCAGCACCTCACTCCTTTATTTAGGTGCAGTAATACATCCGTGTGAATGTTATCTGCATCTGTCCACTGATTCACTTCCACTGTATTTATTTTTTTTTTAGAAGGTTAGTGGAATAAAGAAGTGAAACAAACAAAACAGATTTAAAGGTGTTTGGATTTGAGACACTAACGGGCCACCCTTAGTCTTTAAACAAAGATGTTTATTGCTAAATTGGTAGGTTGACATTTACTCAAGCCCCAGACATCGCTTTTATGAATATATTAATACCCCGGAAAGGAAATAGTTTCAAGATTCTGACTTATAAAATATATTTTAATTGGACTTCATTTGATTTGTACTGATTTGTGCAGTAAAGGCTGATTGAACCTAAAGCTAAAATTTATATGGCTTGTCTTACTGGTTCTGCAGTACAATCAGATCTTTTCTGCTTTAACTTGATTTTCAACAAAAAGCTCTTTAGCTTCATAAAAATTCTGCTTTTTAAAGATGCTGTACTTAATTTATATGGGTATTAACTATATACAGGTTCTGTACTGAGTGTTTTAAAATATGAATATTTAAGTTGTGGCCTTAGAGGAGAAGAAGAGACTTCTTCCAACACAGAACTAGAATTTCACAGACTCTGCTACTGCTTAGGTGCCTTCTTGAAGTGAAAAGATTTTCAAACTGCCCGTTCACTGTCTTCATTAGAACAAAGCATATTGCTTTGTGGCTTTTTTCCAAAGACTTTGTAATTTAAGAGTCATCTTCAGTCCCCCCGGAAAATGATTTGGGAGCGAAGATTTAACATCTTGGTCTGACTACAGTATTAATTTATATACCTTGTACAACATGTTTTTATTCTCTTTAGGAATACATATTCTTTTGGGTATTAAAACTATTACCATGTGAGAAAGCATGTATCACTGAACTGTAAAAGTTACCAATGAAATTGAAATGTAACTGATGTTATTCCTTTATGTTTAATAGTCAATTACACTCGACCTGTGATTGTTTTGGGACCCATGAAGGACAGAATAAATGATGATCTCATCTCAGAATTTCCAGACAAATTCGGCTCATGTGTTCCACGTAAGTCTCAGCAAATAGTGGAGCAATTCTAATGGATTTTGTTCTGTTAATTTTCTGAATGAACTTATCCTCTGTATGTTGAGTTACAAAAAGTTAATATTTTGTCCAAGCTTTATACAGCTCTCTTAATTGTCTGTTATCTTTGCTTGTGAAAATTTTGCAGTGTAAATGGGAGACTATTTTTTTATATTGTAGAGAAAGAAGTCACTCTTTTTGTATTTGCTTTAAAAATTACTGGTTTATATTTAAAGATACCACTAGACCAAAACGAGATTATGAGGTGGATGGACGTGATTACCATTTTGTCACTTCTCGAGAGCAAATGGAGAAGGATATTCAGGATCACAAATTCATTGAAGCTGGCCAGTACAATAATCATCTTTATGGAACAAGTGTCCAGTCAGTGCGAGAAGTAGCAGAAAAGGTAAATCAGTGCCAGTTACTTTCATTTACTGAGGTGATTATCTGACTGTGCTGACAGGGGAAAGGAGGAGAATGGCAAAAGGCACTGAGTGCTGTGCTGTGTTTCTCTCTTGGATGCAGTGCAAGTAAGGAACTAAGTAATATGTAAAACATGAAGTGCACTGTGCAAAGAGCAAAATAGCTTCCTCGAGTGAAAACAGGATCTTTATATCATGAAGTACTTTCATCTGTTTTTCTTGTCTTCCAAATCTGAACTTGAAAGAACTTTCGTACCCTCTTTGGAATCGCTAGCAGCTTGTAAATCTGTGTCTGAGGCCACTGTTAATGCACTTTCATTATTGATTTTGAGTAAACTGTTGCAGTTATACTCCATAAGGTCTAGCACAGCTGTAGTGGGGGCAATCTAGTCCTCCATCCTTTGCCCCAAATTCTTTGACACCTGGCATAAATTATTGGGCCAAACACAGCAAACACTGTGTCTCATCCCGAAAAGGAAAATGGACCAGTTAATACTCTTTAATTCTCAATTCCCAGAGTGTGTGCCACATTTAAAGAGAAACCAGAGGAAAGATGTGGACAGGTCAGCACATGTAGTAAATATTCTGCTAGAACATAGAAACAACTTTCTTAAATGATACCAGTCAACACTGAGATCCATGGACTGGATCTGGGAAACAGCTCACCAGCTGAAAGCAAGCAAATATGTATTGTTTCTGTGGGAAGAACACTTCTATCTTCCTTAAGAATTCCTGAAATAAAGTTCTGTGGTTTTGTTGTGCAAGCAGTCAAATGTAAATTATCCTAAACTCTCCTGCCAGGAAGCAGAAATATGATGTCAGTTGTTTCAGACTGCAGTCACTTTCTTGCTCTTTAACATGCCCTCCAGGAATGATCTCCCAGGAGTTCTGGGAGTGTGTTGTATGATATGAGAAACATTTGGGTTTGTGGTTCTTCAGGGTTTGTGTCCTGGCTCACAGAATTCTGCCATTCACATCGATCGCCTGCTAAAGAAAAAGCTTTTCTGATATTAGTCACCAGGCAGCACTTTTCTCTTCCTCTCCCTCCATCCCATTCTAAAATGGTGGTATGCCAAACTATTCATATGCTACTCAGAAAGGAAAGAAATAAGCTAGGGAACAGGAAGAGCCTTTAAGATGAGATAGCCCAAAAAGATGGAAAATTATAGCGGGAGAAAGAGGCTGGGAGAAAAGCATCCCTACTACATTCTCTTCCAATTGCTTAAAGAAGGGATAGGTTATTTTTGTTTCTCAGAAGATTGAAAAATTATCAGTGCAAATCAACTTCTTTTACCATCTCAAAACTGGTGTTCTACAATGTGATCCTTGGGGGAGGAGGGTGCTTGTATTCAGTTCCATCTAAGTGTTCTGACAGTAGCAGATTTCCTTGCTATTGGGGTGATTAGTCTCTCAGATATGCTGGGTAAGTCATCTCGCACTTCTCTAACTCAAGCTGTGAGAAGGCCACAATTTTAAAGGATCCTCAGAGTGATTTTTTTTGTTTTTTTAATAAAAAAAGACGATCTTTGGTGTGGTTGAAGTGCAGCTGTTGTATAGTTGGATGATTCTGTATTGTTGATTGGGCTGAAAGGGAGGAAAGAGGGTCAGGAACATGTCAAACCACCTACAGTGGTTTGACATGTGAGCATTGTGGCACCTTATTCCAAAGTGGTGACATCATAATATTGATGCAAATACTCTTAATTTTGTTGGCTTCCATGGAGATATTTTCTCTTCTAAGTTACTGTTCTATGCATACCTGTGACTTGAACTTTGCTTAATGCCATTTTCCATTCTCTCACACATTTTAGGGTAAACATTGCATTCTTGATGTTTCTGGTAATGCTATCAAAAGGTTGCAGATTGCCCAGCTGTACCCGATCTCCATTTTTATTAAACCCAAAACAGTGGAAAATATCATGTAAGTAAAAGGAAAGTGCCTTGGGCTGAATTGTTTGAGATTGTCATTGTACTTGAAAAGCCAACTTCAAGTTATGTGGAAGACAATTGTAATATTTGCATTCTAAACAATATTTAATGTCCTGACTTTTATTTCTAGGGACTTTTAGATAGGTTTTCTAATCCAAATTTAAGTGATTGAGAATTAATGTAATTGTGATAAATTCCATGCAACGTCAGAATAGCTCATTCCCGTCACAATCTTTGGTTAGGTCTGTCATTTAGGAAACTGTCCTATTAGGGTTAATACTCAGGCAACAATTCAAAACCTTATTTCAAAAGACTCCAAATATTTGATAATAGTTTAAATGTATAATGTTTTCAATTTCAGGGAAATGAATAAACGCTTAACGGAAGAGCAAGCCAGGAAGACGTTTGAGAGAGCCATGAAACTGGAGCAAGAATTTACTGAACATTTCACAGGTGTGTTTTCTTTGGGACTGTTCCCTTCCCAAGTTGAAGTGTTATTGTTTGCTGTAAATTTGTAATTGCCTCATAACTGAGATAAGGCTGAACTCTGTTTTCAGGCTGATGCGTCATTGTTTTGAGGCATAGTCATCTCAGTACCTCTACACTAATTTCAATTTGTTCAATTAATTCAATATACAGAAAAAAATTACCAAAAGCTTAATTTATGTTTTAAAACCTGTAAAATTGTCTACCACTTTTCTAGGTATTGTAATGCAAGTGTTTGCTTTGTTTGTATATTGTATGCTGAAAGCTTTTTAATTGCAGAGCTGAGATTGCCCAGCAAAGCTCCCTGTAGAAGATTATTACTTTCTTCTTTTTTTTTTTTTTTATATCAGGAAGTAAAGAATTATAGTAATTAAGCCTCTGGAAATGGGGCACTACAGCATTATGGTACTTAGCAAATCAGATTGATCTAACTGTAACAGCAAGGGATGCACTCAAACTCTTCTAAGTGTTTGCATTGTGGCTTGCAGAGGGAGATCAAGTCCAGATCTTCAGGAGGACAGAAATGAGCCTTCTCTATTCCTGCCCCAGATAAACACTTACTCCTTTGCTTCCTGCTATGTTCTCTCTTGCAGTGTTTCAGTATTTGCTGCCCCATTCACCTCCTTTCTGAGAAAGAACTCCTGTGTCCTATTATCCTTCCACATTTTACAGTGCCCACATCTTATAGTGGGCAGAGCTGTGAAAGCAACAGTCTGCTCCACCTGGCCAGGGACATGGAAAGGGGAGGTGACTTCACTGGGAGGAAAATACAGGAACCTGTAGACTCCCTGCCCCATTCTTCCTTCTGCCTTGTTCTCTACATTGTGTGCTACCCACAGAGTGGACAACTTGAGTCCCTCCCTTTTTGTCTGCCTTCCTCCCTCTCTGCTGCCTCGCAGCTGTCACAGTTTATCCCAACAGTGCAAGCTGCCCCTCTTTTCTCTGTGCCCAGAAGATGATGGAACTCTCGGTATATACTGCAGATTCTTCCTATTATACATCCTTTTACCAAATTACTTGCAAATATGTCAGGTTTGCTTCTTGGGTTATCAATACTGAGCTTGTAATCCTAATTGAAAAGAAGCTGCTACCTCATGCTGATTGTGTTTTCAGATTGCAATTTCAGTGTGGTAAGAACAGCTCAAACTTCATCCTCATTCTCACCAGGCTGTTCTTTACTCTGATATATCAGAACATATCCATATTTGGCTCATTTCTAATTATTTTCTAGCCTTGGAGAAAATATATCTAACTTACATCATCTGGATATAAATTGCACTTCTAACTATGTAAGGAAGCCTGTTGCCTATAAAACTTGAATCTGGTGGTTGGGCAACAAAATTAATTCCTTCTTTTTTTGGGCCAAAGACAAAGCTAGTGCTAGCAGGTGGAAATCCCAGGGTCAGCCAGCCTTGCTAGGAAGTTGCAGGATCCAGCTGAGTTTGCCAGTCTGCAGCATGCCAATCTGGACTCTGACTGCATGAGGACACAGCCCTGTACTCTTGTCTTGCCTTGCGTTGAAAACACATATGAAAGTTGGAACTAAAATAATAATGGCGGATGTGAATTGACTCAGACAAACTCTAATGTGGTTAGGAAAAGCCACAAAACCTCCTCACTTGTATGTATGCTCTTGCAGTAAAGGGAAAACCACTTCCTAATCCCAAGCCTCTGAGGGGGAGAGATGGTGCTTTGTGTGTCCTGCAGTACCATCAACAGTGTGCTTCCCTCCAGCACAGGAACCAGAAATCCCAGTGGTTGTCCATTCCTTCAGCAATCTCAGATCTTCTTGCCACTTTGAGAGAAGGAACAGCTTGGCTTGGAACCTCTTGGTTTCTGTACAGAACTGGAAGGATGATTGCTGATTGCCACATTATGTTTTGCAGCTATTGTCCAAGGAGACACGCTGGAAGAAATCTACAACCAAGTGAAACAGATCATAGAGGAACAGTCTGGGCCTTACATCTGGGTTCCAGCAAAGGAAAAATTATGAAAACAGATTTTTACTTTTCATTTTCTAACTGACATCACCTACTACATCTGACGACTTAAGCCCTTCCAGTGGAGCCTGCCTCTAGTTCTTTCCAGCGTGGTTCATACCCTAACCATCACATTCTGCAGTTCCCATAATGCTTTACATTTGTTGTCTCTCTTAGTTTAAATAATTTGTAATATTGTGTGTTGTTGGTTTGCCATTTTTCAAACATGACGGTGGAATGGCCTGACCAGCTATTAGTTTGGGGTGTGGGTGGGAGGGAATTGCTTGGTAAAATTCCTTAATGTTTAAGGGAAAGTAACTTTCAAAGATTTTTTCAAAAAAGCTTTATAGACATTCTTTTAAGATTTCATAACAATTGAAAGAAAAGTTGTATTCAAGGAAGTTGTTAAATCATAAGTAACTTTGCACGCTTAACTTTAATAGCATGGTTTGGTCAGGGCAATCAATTTCAGGTTGTATTTTCTGAGTTAAATTCTATTCTCACAGTAATTTTTTTTTTTTTCCTTTCCAGGCAGTTAGAAACTTTAAAATTATGAGTTAACATTTTCATTTACTCCCATTACTGCTCCTCAAGGGATATTCATTTTCATGATTTCATATGGATATTCTTATAATATATTTTTTCATTTTTTGCCAATAAGATTGCTAGGGACAAAGATGTGTAATGTTTTTAATCTTCCTCATGAAACACTATTTATAGTGTCTTACAGAAATCGTTTATAGATAATGGTCATCACACTTTTTGAGCCTAAAGTATGTTTAGGTGCTAGGAAACATTGTACTTTTCAGAGGAATGCCAAGTTTCCATTGGCATTAATACAGAAAACAACTGCAGAGATGGTCGTTAGGGCAATGAGAGAATGATTCGTAGCCTAAAAATGTGTGTGTTCTTAGGGGTCAGATTTTAATGAATATTTTACCCACAATAACTGCCTATTTTGTTATAATAAATATATATATATATATTAAACTTTCTTTAACTAAACTCTGTAACTATGGGAATTATTTTCTTTACATAGTTGCGCACACGTATAAATATATATATAAAAAATATATTTTTCTTTTACCTCCTACTCCTAGCTTTTTGTTTTGAATAAAAATACAAATTAGAGTTTACCTTCCTTAGTCATGAGAAGTCAAATGGGCTATGGTTACTGGGCATGAAGTCCAGGAAATATTAGTTACAAGAAAAAAAACAAACAAACATGCAAGTTCTCCTCTTTTCTATGGAATTTCAGGTGTTTGTCTTCCCCCCTCTCCCCTCCTGTAATATGCATGTCTTAACCAAAGGGAGAATTCAGACTCAATGATAACGTTTTCTTTTTCTGTACGTGTTCATCCTGGATTGCTTAGGCACAAGATATTCCATTTGCAGTGCACAAAATTCTGTGCTGAATGTTATAAATACTTTGTACCAAAACATGGAACTACCTTCAGTAATGAAATTCTCTAATTCCCGTATTCTTTGGTACCTGCCATTGCTTGTTTGAAACTGTTTATAAGAGGGATGTACTTATGGCAGTCATGGGGCAGTCACACAACCAAATTAGGTTTGGTTTGTAAAGAATTACCAACACTATCCATTCCATTTGTTAGAAAGAGGAGAACAGCTAATAAACTTTACTGTACAATATATTTGTCAAGTGTGTTTTTAATCAAAAGCGATACAGGTGGTGTAGCATTTTGAAATAATTGACTCAGACTGTAAATTTAAGTCCTGTTAGAGGAACACTGGTGACTAGATTGGATCTAGTGAAGTTACTACATGAAAAGCAGGTTTAAACTTGAAACATAAATATTGCTGGTGTTATGTAGAATGCTTATAAGACTTAGGGTAAGCCTGAGCTGCTGGTAGATGGTTCAAAATAATTTCTGTTTCTGTGGATTTGTGCAGTAGGTGTATTATCTTTCTGAGACTCCTGTCTATGAGAGGTGTGCAACATTGCCACTTCGGATAAATAATGTCACAATTTTATAAAGGACCTAAAAGTGTATTAGAGTCTTCCTCTTTGAAAGTGACAAATTATCTGAGTTGTAAAGTGAGACATCATAAAACAGACCAAATTTTTTAAAAATAGAACTATATCAATCTCAGCTATCGAATTTGCAAACTATAATAACAAATTTTTTAACCTCATTTTTTTTACCCATCAGCAAAGTCCTGTTCAGCTGAGTAAATACATGAGCAATTACTTATTCATTTATTGGAGTGTCTGGATAACTTTCACCAGACACTGCTCTAACTGAGGTCCACAAACCCCACCGTGCACGATTGTCACGCTAGGGTGAAAACAAGCCTGGGATCCGGAAAATCCAAAGCGCTCTGGGGTACTGAGATAGCTGAAAGAAGAGGCACGAGCCATTTTGCTGTGCAAGCCAACTACTTCATTGTTCCGTGAGTCCTCTTTTATCCATACAGAAATGGATCTAGCTCATCAGCCAGCAGGATGTTTTCAAAATACTGGCCCATGCAGCCTTCGTGTGAATCACTCATGCTTGCTAACTTGCTCTTCCAAGTTGGCACATACGCGATGGCATCCCAACTGTGTTTTTTCACTCACAACAAGTATTATTTATGGCATCCAGGTAAGGCTGGCTAAGATACTTGTTATTTCTTCCCAGACTACTTTGATTTAATCATCCAACGTGCAAGGGCACCCACTCTCACAGCAGCAGCTGCAGCCACATGGTATTTTTGCATTTTTGGTTTTGTTTGTTTCAGATTTTGCCCTTCAGCGCTGGCAGAAAAGTTGATTCTGACAGCTCTGATGCTTGACCTGTTTTATCTTGTAATTTTTAGGGTTTTGCATTAATTAGTGTTTCTATGGATCTCTTTTTTCCAGTATCAGATGCTAATATGGTTTTGATTCTCGGGTACATTTTACTTTCTATATTTTAAGGATACATTTTACAATGCTGTACTTTTCTTAAGGCTTCTATTTTAACAACTAGACTAATTAAGAAATTGAATTGGTGCCTCATTGGTGCCTTACCTCCCTGTTTTAGCTGGCCCAGTGAAGGCACCATGGGTTCTCTTCCCTGCCTGCCAACCTAACTTTTTGTAGCTGCTATACAGAAGCATGCTGGATGACGTATTTGCTGCTATTATTATTTTAAGTTGTATTAAATTAATAATTTCCTTTGCAGGCTTTTTTGCTAAATTGTGCTTAAAATTAGGTTATGAAAGTTAATATCTCCTTAAAGCATAGATATTCATAGGGTTATGAATAAAATAGGAAGATGACCCACATTATAATGAACTGCTTGTGTGATGGTTTAGAGGGAGTTGCATTCAGAATAGACCTCCTATACAAGGAGGCTGCTCCTCTGCCTTCCGATCCTTTCCTGTAGAGGATCAGAAGAAGCACGGGAGAAGTGTGAAACCAAAGTAGTTTCTTATTAATCTTGTCCTTGCAGTCTTAAGCAACTGGTGCCGGAACTGTGCATCAGTCTTGTCATCTGTATGTGTGTAAATTTTGCTGCAAGCATCAGAGGGCCTGAGAGATTAATCTTGTCAATGGGAAGGGCATAGAAGGGATCTGAATAATGGATCCTTCCAGAAATATGGAAGGATTCCAGTGGTGCCAGGCCATTCTTTGGCACTTTAAACAGCAAAGGGATGACTAATTCTAGATGGTCTAGGCAGTCAAGAATCCATAAGATTTTGTTTAAGGAGGCCTGGAGGGGTTCTTACAGATTTGTTTGGGTTTTTTTTTTTTAAGTTCTAAACTTGAAATGTCAATTAATTGACTTAAACTTGGATGTTGTCTTACAGGTCCTGGTGCATGTTAAAGGTGGCAGCCTGGCCAAATTGCAGTCAGGTATCATAGAACAGTTTGGGTTGGAAGAGACCTTAAAGATCATCTAGTTCCATCCCCCCTGCATGGACAGGGACACCTTTCACTAGACCAAGTTGTTCAAAGCTCCATCCATCCTGGCCTTGAACGCTTCCAGGGGTGGAGCATCCATGGCTTCTCTGTGCCAGTGTTTCCCTACCCTCACAGTGAAGGAAGCAGCTAAGTAACTAACTCCTGGAAGCATCTGTGCAGCACTACTGGATGTGTGGACTGTCAGAAGGACACATTCAGTGACATCATTTTTGCATGCTCTTGATAGAAGATGGCAGAGACAAGTGCATGGGGATTCATGGCAGTACAACAGATTTTCTGCTGTCTGGATGTTGAGCTGAGGAATAGCAGCCAGCAGTGCAAAGCAGGACCAAATGGCTCTTGTCTAAAGAAGTATTACAGGCAGCTGCAGTTCATTGACTAACAAGAAACTAAGAGATAAAAAAGGCAGCACAAAAGAGTGTTTCTCTGTGAAAGCTACTCTAAAAGTCACGGAGCTTTTTACAGAGCTATTGCCAGCAGAGTTTTCACGCTGAGAGAGAGAAGCCTTCCTGGGTCTAAAACCTTAAAAAAAAAAATCAAGCTACTTCTGCTATTTCATAGCACTTGCTATTAAATTTCAGAAGATGTGAACTTAGCACGCACTCTACCACCTGTAGAGAGTGTACAGGCTTCACTGTTGTCAGAGCTTGGGTTTCTTGCTATGGCTTTGTGAAATTCATGACAATGCTGAGAATGTGGCAAAAAAAAGTGACCATCAGTTCTGTGAGATAAATTCTTGGTTTGAACCTGTTTTTGCTTCCTGAGCCCAAACACAGAGAATACCTAGAACTCAAAATGAGGATTTCTTTACCCAGCCCTGCCTTACCCATGTGAGTTGGTGTGCAGCTGTTTATCCAAGTCTGTAGGTGGTGCTAAAGCAGTAACAACCTCAGTGGTGTCTCAGATGTTTTGCAATTTCCTAGTCTGAATTTTTTTGTGAGAGTAGAGGTGGTGTATGGAGAGGTGAGCTTTTTTCCCCTGTAGGTGACATGTGCCAAGGAAAGCAAGATAAATTGGTGAACAAAGTGCATGCGCAATCGAAAGCTGCTGGTTTTCACCAAAGAGCAGGCTGGGGAGAGCATATTTACAGAAGCCTTGATCTCCGGGAGTTCTGTGGGCTGGAAAAAGCACAAATCCCAAAATTTTCATCATGAAGAGCTCCAGAAATGTCTTCTGTCTTCTCTTCTTTCATGTTGGTAAGTACCCTCCAAAAACTTTTACTTTGGCTTGGTGTCTTTGGGCTTGACTTTGTGATATGAGTAGAGGAAAACTAGAACCACTTCAGAACCAATCTCATATGGCCAGGAAAAGAAATAGAAGAGAAAAAACAGTAAAGGAGTAGAAAGAGCTGTATTGAACACATGTATGTGTCTTGACTCATTGGAGGTAAATATTTCCTCAGCACTGAATCTACTTATTTTGGTTTGATGGCATCTGTTTCTTACAAGCGTGAACAGTTCTGTGACACTTATTTTGTTAAAATACAAATAATGGCCTTATTCCACTAATCATACTTTGTGTGACAGGTTGGCTTTCTCCCGTTATTCCCAAATTCTAATGGCAAATGTTTTTAATTTCACTGAAGGTGTAGATGCTGTTTCTGAAGCACTCTGCAATTCTTAAAAAAGAAATTATACTAGTTGCTTATTTCATTTACATTGTTGCTGCCAAAAGCCTTTAATAGTGTATTAATAACTGTATTAATAACCATTTGATGTTATGTTACACAATGAAGTACTGTTACTTTCAGCAAATGAGTTAATTGGATGTTTCCCAGTAATAGTTGTGTGGTTAGGACCTTGAGTGTATTTCACTTCTGCTGTTTCCTGCTTTATATATATCTACATACATATAGAAGGGCCAGAATTGTGAAGAATCTTGGGTTCAGTCTGAACTTCTGTTTTAAGATGCTCTTCGTTGGCAGTAGGAAGACAGGCTAACTACAGACTTTTTCTGTGCTTAAGCTCACTTCAAATGGGTTGGCTTGTAAGAAAGGAAACAGAACATTGTCCAGGCTCTGTCTTTCCTAGAACAGCAGAGTTGAGCAGTTTGGAAAGTGACAAATGAATTACCTCTTTTAGATGAGTGAGGGGAAAAAAGCAACGGATTCGTGCTGTTCCACTATTTTGGCTGAAGTATGGAGCCAAATGAGCTTTGTTTCAAGTGTATATGGCTCATGATTCTTTGCTACAATCCATGCATTATCTGAGGTGCTAATACCCCTATTTCATTTCCACTTGCTTGTGTAGAGAAAAAAAACCCAAAACCCTTTATCAATAAAAACCTAGGGTCTTCCTCTTGCCGCAAGAGTTCCTGCAACTCAGAGGTGGGCAGTTGTTTCTCCCTCTACTAGCACATGAAAACTAACTGTGAGCTTTCCAAGTCTGACTTAATGTTTGTTGACAGCAGCAGAGTTGGCTCTGAGTTGCTGAGGAACAACAAGCCAGCCCCTCTTGTTTCAGTATCTGTGCAAAACAAGCTGAGTGGCATCAACAGTCTCATTAGTCTGCAGTCGTAAGTCAGAAAATGTGCTACTACTGAGCACTAGAGGAGTAGTTTTAGCTTGCAGAATTAGATGTGGTGTCTCAACTGCATGATGATGGTGGGGAAGTAGAGGGCCATTTAGAGTTTTTAGAAAACTGTGTGACAAATAACTTAAAGCAAACACCAACTTAAAAATAGAACTTGTAGAAAAGCAATGGCATGTGATGCCTTATGTTTAGAAGAATGATCTGTGCCTGTTTATTAGCATAAGCCACACTTGCGGATGCAGTTTATGTACAGTTGCACAGCTGGGGACATATCCTGACAAAACAACTAAGTGTTTGCAGCTTTGGTGCTTAAAAGGGTGGTGTATGGGCCTGCTGAAAGACACCTTTCTTCACTGACTAATGGAATCTCTGCTACTCAACTTCAGTCTTTTCATTCGTGGAAATATCCCCTTCCTTTTAATGACTGTGGAAAACAGCCTCTTCTGAAAGAGT